TTCTCCGACTGGTTTTTGAATGTTATAATTCTTGATGTCTGATTTGTGTCCATTTATTCTTTTGTGTAGAGACTGTCCGGTTTGGCCAATGTACGTGGCAGAGGGGCATTGCTGGCACATGATGGCATATATCACATTGGTAGAAGTGCAGGTGAACGAGCCCCTGATGGTGGGGCTGATGTGATTAGGTCCTACGATGGTGTACCTTGAATAGATATGTGGACAGAGTTGGCAACAGGCTTTGTTGCAAGGATAGATTCCTGGGTTAGTGTTTTTGTTGTGTGGTGTGTGGTTGCTGGTGAGTATTTGCTTCAGGTTGGGGGGCTGTTTGTAAGCGAGGACTGGCCTGTCTAGTAAGTGAGTTCCTACTGTGAGCTACTATCTATGACAATTTGGGTTTGTTTGTTTTAAAAAGAGGAAGGTTAAATATACAATGAATTACTAGTCTCTGTACTATTTAAAGCTGTGATCCTGTAAACACTTAGGGGCAGAATTCGGAGCCAGATTTTCAAGGGACCAGATCCTCAAAAGCGCTCAGCACCCAAAATTCTGAGCTCTTTTGAAAGTCTGGCTGATGATGAAATTCAAGCATCGGAGTAGCCACTTTACAGTGAAACTGCTCAGATGCATAAAGTTAAACATGTTCATTAGTTTTTGCAAGGATCTCAATTACTTAAATGGAATGGAGGTGTTCTGAAAAGCACTTCAGTGTTCTAGATCTCAGGGTTCCAATTAAGTAAAATTCTCATGCTGAAACACAGAAATCGTAACTGGTAACATTTTTTGACAAGCCTGGTTTGCTTTCTTCTTGTGATAGGACGACTCCTTGTTAGGTGAACGAGATTTGGCTCAGTTGTCTGTTACAAACTTTACTGGCCTAATTGAGTAGGAATAGTGTCTCCATTGAAAATGCACAGTGGTGTATTTTAATGTTTTAATTTTTAATCAACAATCAATTCAGTACAGTATTAAAAGGTACATAAAGCAAACCTGTGTTTGAATTGAATCATAGGAGTTAGTGATGGAAAAGTTCTATTAGCTCATGTAGTCTTCCCTCCTACTACTGGATAATTTATTTGGATCTCACCAAGAGGAGTTTCCCCCAACATTCCGGTTAAATTTAGACCACAGGCAGGGACCTTGCCTCCTTTTTGGTTTGTATAGTCTTACCTTCCTTAATTTATCTCTATTTTGTTACATCTTGTACCACCTTAAATAATTTTTTTCACTCCTCTTTGCATCTTTCTGGTAGAAGTATATCTCTCCTAAAGTATGTTATACATATTTAACGCTTGTATTCCTGAAAATATTGAGTTGCAATGATGTGTGGACACAATGTTTGCATAGCCTTCAGTTAGAAGCAACAGTAGATTGAATGGGCCAAAAGTATATCTTTGACGGTATCTTTATTAAACAGTGCATGTTGCTGACAAAATCTCAGTGCTGAATATCAAATGGAAATTGTTTTGCAGAAAACGCTCTTTTAAAAAAAATTAGAAAAGGTTTCTTGCAATTACAAAAGTAGGAGACCGAAAGAGATGCATGGAAAATTTAGGAAGAATGCTCATGAATCTAGTTTATGAACTAGATACATGCTAAAAGGAAATATAGCAGACGGAAAATAATATTTTCCTTTCAAAGAAAAGAAGTTGGAGGGGGACTTTAACTCAGGAGTCACTGGTTTTTAGCTCCCTGCCACCCACCGGCTGCCAAAAATTTATTGTATGCTTTTTTTAAAAGATTACATCTGGCTGCCTTCTTAATTGAACATTATTTTGGTAAGTTTTTGCCTGCTTTATTAATTTATTTAATGCAAATTACATGTAGCTAAATAACAGCCAACTGTAAAACCTGAGGATGTAATTCCATGCAGCAATGCTGCTGATGTAATCACGAGAGAGAATACTGTGGCTTGTGTAGTGTTTCCAAGTTACATCATAGGCCTTTAATTCACAGTGGGTTTGCCATCTTCCTTTTCCTTCTTTAAAATGGATCCTTCAGTAATCCTTCAGTAATGAGGAAATGTTAGCCCATTACTATTCTGGAGATGCTTTGGCAGCCTACTTCCCATTTCTGCTGGGGCGGAAATGCATCATCATGGAAAAATGTCCAGTAAAAGTGGGCCCAGTTTTGAGCAAAAAGGGCTTTGCACCAATAAAATGGATGGGGTGATATCTTTTATTGGCCCAACTTCTGCTGGTGAGAGAGACAAGCTTTTCGAGCTTATGCTGAGCTCTTCTTCGAGTCTAGGAAACTAATTCAGAGTGTCACAGCTAAATATAAGGTGGAACAGATTGTTTAGCATTCAAGGTCAAGAGGGCCGTTAACATCCCTTCAGTCACAGGGAGGAAAAGAAGGGGAGGGGAGCAGCTAGGGGGCAACTGTTGTAAGTGGGTTACAGATTGTTGTAATAAGCCATAAATTCAGTGTGTCTGTTCAGGCCATGATTTTTAGTGTCCAGCAAAGTTATGAATTTAAGCTCCCAGGCTCGTCTTTTGAAAGTGTTGTGTAGGTTTCCTATGAGGACTTATAGGTCAGATATAGAGTGATCGCTTTGTGAAAAGTGTTCACCCACAGGTGGTGTGGTGTTTTGTCTTTTATCATTTTCCTGTGTGAGTTCATTTGAGAGCATAGTGCTTTTCAGGTACTCAGATACCACAGAATATGCTGCGAGGAGAAAGTCCAGGATATACACCTGAACACATTCAAAACTGCCTTCACCAAACAAGGACACTCCACCACAAAAATAGATCACATCACATCATGGCATGGCTCACCGAAATACCTCAAGAGAACCTGCTTCAATACAGAAATAAAACCCCTTCTAACCACACACCCCTAGTTGTCACCTGCCCCTACAGGGAACCCTTAGTATCCAACAACTACAACCAGACATGAAAGTAAGCCAGTACGCCCTGGTGCACCGTACCGGGGTGGATCAGCTTCCCCAGGCGCAATTTAAAGGTCTGCAGCTCCCAGCAGCGGCTGGAGCCCCCGGCCCTTTAAATTGCTGCCGGAGCCCTGGGGTAGTGGCGGCAGGGCTGGGGCGGTGATTTAAAAGGCCCGGGGTGGTAGCGGTGGCTGAGCCCTGGGCCCTTTAAATCGTCCCCAGAGCCCCACCGCCACTTCCCCAAGGCTCTGGCATGCTCCGGGGATGATTTAAAGGGCCCAGGGCAGTAGTGGCGGTCGGAGTCCCGTCCCTGGAGCCCTGCTGCCGGAGCCATGGAGAAGCGGTGGTGGGGCTCCGGGGATGATTTAAAGGGCCCAGGGTTCTGGCCCCCGCTACTGCCCTGGGCCCTTTAAACTGCTGCCAGAGCCCCCGGCTGCTGCTGTTACCTGGGCGGGGGGAGGAGGGGAGGGGAGGGGGAAGGAGGCACTTACCGGTACAGGGTGGTCCGGGGCTGGCTCTGACCCCCTCCAGTCCAGCCCTGTACCGGTAAGTCCCTAGACTTACTTTTACCCCTGACTACAACCCATACTCAATGAGAACCCCATCCTGAAAGAAATATTTCCTGAGCCCCCTCTTCTGGCGTCCAAACAGCCCCTCAACCTCCCCAAGCTCATAGTCAGAAGCAAGCTCCCCACAGACCAGGACAGGCCAAATCAAAGCTGTACCAATGATCAACACCCACCCCCACCTCCCACCACAACACACCTTTCAAGATCTAAGGGTCCTACACATGCCTATCACAACATGTATTGTAGCTCATCCAGTGCACTAAATGCCCTAATAGCAACTATGTGGGTGAAACCAGACAATTACTACGCTCTCAAATGAATTCACACAGGGTGAATGAATCCAAATTAATGTAAATGTCTACAACCAGGGAGAGGAAATAAACAGTACAGAGGCACAATGGGTCAGTCGCACCCATTGCATTAGAGAGAGATTAAATTTCTCTAACCTTAATTGGTGTTATCAATCCTGAGTTTTTATATCTCTGAGACCTATATCTTTGTATGAGTTGTAATATTACTTAAGCACCTCCCTGGGGAACAGAACAGTGATAATAGAGGGCTCTTCAATCTACTGGTGAAAGATATAACAAGATCCAATGGTTGAAAGTTGAAGCTAGATAAATTCAGCCTAGAAATAAGGTGCAAATTTTCAACAGTGAGGGTAATTAGTCATTGGAAGAATTTTATGAAAGGCTGGGGTAGATTTTTCCATTACTGAACATTTTAAAAACAAGATTGGATGTTATTCTGAAAAGATATGTTCCAGCTCAAACAGGAGTTAATTGAGGGAAATCCCATGACCTGTGTTATGTGGGAAAGTCAGACTGGTCCCTTCTGGCCTGATAATCTATGGATTTATTTAGTTGAGTGGAGTACCACTTACTTTAGGAAAGGTGTAGGGTGGGTTGGTTGGTTTGTATGTGAAAGGAGGTGTCCACAAGAAAAATCACTACTTAAAAAGAAGTCCACACTAGGGAAAAGTTTGAAAGCCCCTGATGTACTTGCACGTTTTTCCTCTGGATAGAAATTGAGTGTTTGGACTGTGTGACTTGAAAGGGTGAGATTCATTTTACAGCAGTACCTCCTAATGTTTTTTCATCTAACTGTATTTATTTCCTCAATAAGATTTCACCATAAATGATGATATTCAGAGAAGAAAACAATTTGTGTGAGAATGGAAAAGCAGCTGGGAATTGCTGATGTGAATTTATCTGAAGTTTGACAAGAAATGCTCCATTAGGCTCTCTGCTGTGGCTATGGTCTTGTTTACAACTAAGCAATTTGGCTTCTAGGGGGAGTTCTCATAGCTTGTACATAAATTATGGGTCAAATCCTCAACTGATAAACATTGAGGTAGTGCCATTGAACTCAGTAGAGCTATACCAATTTACACCAGCTCAGGATCTGGGTCTGCTCTTATATCTTCCTATGCACTTACTAAATGGAGCTTCCAATTCTTTAGAAATGCACCTCTTACGACAATGTCTACCCAGAGTTCATTCAGCTTTAACAGTTCTCCTGTTGTTTGTGTTCCTTTGCAGCTTCCTTTGGTCTCTACTTCCCTAGGAAAGATTATTCTGAGACTGTCTACATTGATCAACCAGCCGGTACACCACTACTGCACATCCGTGCCTTGAGGGATTCACATGGGGAGGTGGCCCACTTTCAGCTGTGCCAGCATCTCTTTATCTATCGCGTTGGAGCCTATGAAAATCATTGGTTTCAAATCAAAGAAAAAACAGGGCTTCTCTACCTCAATAAGAGTCTGGATAGAGGAGACTTCGATATCCTGTGTAAGTCTGAGAGGAGTAGCTGCAGTTGCGATAATGTCCAGAGTTGAAGCTAAACACTTACATCTAATGGGATTTATCCAGCAGCATATGAATAGCAAGTCAATACTTAGGGATCAGATTGGAAGAACTGTTTGTTTACTTTAAATGAATTTTGGGATTGAAAAGAATCCTCAGATAGACACAGTGGTATTAAAGCCAAAATGAACACTAAGGCAAAGAAGAAATTGCATTAGTTGTCAAATGGTGGAGTTTCATCAGGAAAGTTTCATCAGTTTAACTAAATCAATGTAATGAACCTAGACTAGACCCCAAAGAAGACACACTTAAACCATTTTTAATCCTTGCAAGTTTATTCTTATTTAGTAATTTACCAACAAGTTATATCCATTTATGTGTTGGTTAAAATTTTATTTCTGCATCAGTTCAGATAGACTGATTTTAGTTAAATTGGTGCAACTTTTCTAATATAAGCAAAACCTTTAATTACAAAGACCCAGCTATCTGGAGCACTTTTTTTATGGGGTAGTAAATGAACCTCTGCTGAAGGGGTTAAGTGATGCCTATTTATATTGCTTGGGATTGAAGTGAGTTTTTTTTTTGTAAGAACCGCATACCATTGAACCATAGAAATGAATTGTTTCCATTCTCCTCTTGCATTCAATAGACAGAACCTATATCTTGGTGGTTTTGATCCCCGAGGAAATTAGGTAGCATTAGATGAGGGAGGAGAAAGTGGTGTAAAGAAAGATCCAGAAGTAAAGGCTGCTGAAAAGGCTTTCACTGTGGGGTAGTCTGATAGTCTGAAGCAATAGGAGAACCTATAAGAGCCATATTTTCCACCTTAGCCTGTAATTTTGGGTGGCTTGGTCCAACTTCAAACATGTAGGGCCTTATTTTCAGAGGTGCCAAACATCACGTATTGTCACTGAACTGGCCTTTACTTCTGGATCAGTTTCAGAGATCAGTAGGGTTCCACCGTGGGGTAGTGTGATAAGCTGAAGGAATAGGAGAACCTGTAAGAACCATGTTTTCCACGTTAGCCTGTAATTTTGGGTGGCTTGGCCCAACTTCAAACATGTAGGGCCTTATTTTCAGAGGTGCCAAACATCAGGTATTGTCACTGAACTACTTGGTTCACTGTAGAATAATGGCTGATGGAAGGAAAATATTAAGAGGAATATTTGCTTGTTTCTTTGTCAACTGTTTCTTTGTTTCTGTTCTTGCAGTTGGAAGAAATTGGGTGTCATTACCAAAGGTGACATTTCATGTCTACCTTTCATCTCAGCCCTTCCAAGGGAAGGAATGTGAGACGCCCATTTCCGCCCTGGTGCATCTCTCCATCCTCAATGCCACTGTACCAGCTTGCAATGCTCTGACATCAAGGGAGCTTTGTTTCTCAGAAATGGATCTCTCCTTTCACATCAAGGAGAATAAACCACCTGGTACATTTCATCAGCTTCAGTTACCCCCAATACATCACCTGTGCCAGAATGTCAGCATTTCCTACAAATTACTAGCAGGTAAAACTGGAGGTAAACCATTCAGTCACGGTCATATTAATGAGATTTTTAATGGAGCAGATCTCTCTTCTGTTGGTTATTCTACTCTGCTTCCACACAAGTCCTGTAGACTTCCTCTTGTGCCCCTGATATAGCTCCTCCACCTTCCTCCATATCTCTTCCTAGACTGATTTTCATAATACAGAGTGAAATTCTTCCCTCTACATGGATGCAACCCAAATGGATTCATTGGGATCACACCAGTATGTCAAAGAGGAGAATAATCACACACCACTAATAGGAAAGGATTATTCCAGTTTATGCTCTGCATGTGTTGTTTCAGTTGACGGGCTGCCTTTTCGCTACAATGAGAACACCACAGGCGTGAGTGTTGTGCAGCGTTTGGATCGGGAAGAAAGAGAGAGGTACGAGCTGATCGCCAAGTGTACAGTGAGAGAGGGCTCCAAAGAGATGCAGGTCGAGGTGCCCTTCCTGGTCAATGTGTTAGATGAAGATGACTCTGCCCCCTTCCTTCCCAATGGCACTAGCACGACGGATGCTGTTGTGGAATTCAACAGAAAAGAGGTAGAGTTCTCTTCTGCTTGGACTCTGAGATGTTCAGTGGAAATGCTGTGGGTTAGGCATGTCTACATGGAAACTTCAGACCTTGTATGTTAGCTCCCAGCATCATATGCCCTAATTTACGATACAGTCCAGAGAGCTCTGACTGCCTAATAATAGTAATAATATGAGGAATGTGATGACCACCTCCACTGAGTGACTAATTATTTGAGTGGTCATTTGACAGATTTCCCTGTGTGTGTATATCTGCCTATATCTTACATACAAAAAGCTATGTTAAAATATAATTTAGGTGGGAAAGTCAATCACTGAGAAGTTAAGAAATGCAAGATTTATAGCTGTCCATGCAACCATGATTCTTCTTTGTGCAAGTACACTGACTGAGGCCTGGGTTCTGTGGAAAACAATAGCGTGTGTAATTAAATACTGTACCCTAATGCATGCACACAAAGAGGCATCGTGTCAAAGGCCTGCTTCAAACAAAGAAGAGGTGAGAGCTTCTCAAATAAAAGGGTTTCAGGAATCTTTTGTTACGGAAGGTCTTAGGGAATCTAAATATTGGGGTTGCTACCAGCTCCTCATATAATGTATATTTGTGAATATCAATTGATATTTCTTTTATTTATTTATTTACAATGGGATTTAAACAGGCACCTGTCTGCTGCTTTGGACATCTTTTGGTGTTACTTATAAAAAAAAATACAAACAGAACAAAACCAGCAGCAACTTCCTGGAAAACTCCACCTCAAACGCTAACCAACTTTCCCCACCAACACTCCCATCCTACATAAACCTTCCTCAGATATCTAGGCAAAATTATGGTTCTTGCAGTGTCCACTGAAAGTCAACAATGCCAGAGTATTCAGGGCCAAGGGTAGGATCTTGTTCTGTAGCTGAAGGTTGCTCATTGACAACCCTTTACCACCTCCACCCCCTCTCTACTCCATGGCACCCCTCCTGCTACAGTGAATAGAGTCCAGCCTGAAAGTAGGCACATTTCTCGTATGGCTTTATAGGTGAAACCCAAGATACATATGTATAAAACTAGTAGAATAACATTCAGCTGGGACTTACTCTGGGAGAAGAAACGCTCATAAAAGCTTTAATAGATGGTTGTTATGCTTGAGCCATTTCAATGTGCGTTCATCAAAAGCCATGCATAAAATTCCAGCAAGTACTCAGTCACTTCCCTCCAGGGATTTCTGTGTAATAATATTTCTCTAATAGCTGTATTTCTTTCCCTTGGAAGTAAACTGGATTTTGCATATCTGGTCTGGAAAGAGAGTATACAATTTTGGATGTTTGCTGCCACCTACAGGCTTGACATATCAGTTCCACACACCGATGGGCATAACTAGTAGAGCTGCTTGAAAAATGGAATTCCCATCCCATGGAAAATTCTGACTCTGAAATTTTGTTTCTTCTCAAATCAGGATGAAAAGCAGAAATCTCAGTATTTGTCATGCAGTGAAATATTTTTGACTTTAATATGATGTATAATATAGTTGAAATAAACCTTGACAAAATCAATTTATTCTCATGAAACATTTTGATTTAATTAATTCAGTGTTTTCCAGCAGAAAAATCTGTTGCCGGAAAACTTCCAAAATACCTCTGATAATTTGTATATTCAAACTTAAAAGGAGAAAGGATTTGTATGGGAATCTCAATGTCCAATGGAATTATAACTGTACAAAATGAGTTTGAGGCCTACTGCCAGGTAATCAGAAATCTAGTGTAGAGTCAATAAAGAGCAATCTAGTGGAATGAGCACAAGACTGGGAGCCTAGAACATCTGATTTCTGATCATCCTTCTGTTACTAACTCTCTGTGGGGCCTTAGTTATGTCATGCAGCCTCTGTTTCTTCTTCCCTGACTTTTAAATGTGGATTTGTTGCTCACCTGCAACAAGAATATTGAGGATTATTTTTTTTATTTTGATGAGTGAAAGCAAGGTATGATCCTGTTACTTCTGCCTTCAAACGTCCAGTATTACATTTGAGCACAGCCGCTTAATTAGTCTTTCCCGGGAGCTAAGGGAGAAAAATCTCTGCTATCCCAGCCATTCTCTGTAAATTGGGGATTAAAATTTTTTAAAAATCCCACAGCACATAACAGAGAGTGAACTGCATGTCTCAGGGAGTGGAGACTGCACTACATGGGACACATCCTCTTGTGTGTTCCAACCCTTCTTGCCATTCACACAGCTGAGAATTCAAGTCACCCTAAACTCTGTGAGGTTGAGTTGGTGCAGAACCAGCCAGAGAATGAGGATCAGTATGGTCCATATCAGAGAATGGTTCCGTGAGGACTCCCCCCCGCCCCTCCTCACCTTGCTGACCTGAGCCAATATTGGCAGTCCCATATTTTTCACTTGGCTTTTCATTCTGTGCATCACGTCATGTTTATTCAGTGATATACCAGAGTTGCAAAATTACCCCAAAGATCATCCTAGCTACAAAGTCTCTGGGGTCATTGAGACCACTAGTTGGGGATTGCTGGAATCAGATATGCTGTCTTTACATAGGTCTCAAAACTGACTGTTGCTACAGTAATTTTGCAATTCACTGGCTTTGTGAAATGCTGTTACAGTGCTCATCTGTCTCCAAATAGGTGGTAAACGGTAGGATCATCAATCTTTGCCCTTTCTGTTAAAGACCTACAAAGACTTTGAATGGAAGTGGATTTGTACAGAATGTCAGGGAGCTTTATATGGACAGGACTTTGGTCTCCAGATTGTATCACTTATTCAGACAGTAAACCAGAAAGCAAATCTGGAAAAAAAATAGTATGGCAGTCATTGATTTTTCCCCATATTGTCTATGTTTTTCTTGTAGGGAACTGTCCTAGCCACACTGACTGTGTGTGATGCAGACACCACACCTATTTTCCCCATTGAAAGCAGCAGAAAGAAGTACACAGGCACCATCAGTACAACTGATCCGTGGATTAGCGAAACATTTCGGGTGGATCACATCTTCCACGAGATCTATTTCAGCCCCAATGGCAGCCAAGTGAGGGGAACACTGCATGAATACAGTAAGGTCTCTTCCTTCTAACAAAGAGTGAAATTGCTTTGCTTATAATTGACCAAAATTGTATTTCACTTTTCTATGCATCTGGAAAATACCAAGCCGATGGAAAATGAGACAGAAAATCCCAGTATCAGAACAGATATTTGGGACTGAAAGAGGGGATTCTGATATTACAGTCTTTCCTCCTATGTATAACACAGTGACTGTATAGGAATCTGACAGTTGCATTATGTGTTGACTAGCCAAGAGAAGTTCTGATTGTATTGCATTTCAGAATGTGATTCTAAGCTAATGACTACAGCTGGATGGCAAACATTTTTCCTCTACCACACACATTTTTGAGATTTTTAAGATTTTCCAGTTTCACATTGGGGAGAAACGGATACATTTTGAAAAAAAAATCATGAAAAAACAGAGAGAGGCCCATCTGCTTGCTCCACAATAGCTAATAGCCAGATGGGGAGGGCACTCACTTGGGTCCCCCAGTATACATCTACCCAGCCAAAAAAAAAGCCAAAACCCACAACACAGTGGGTCAGCTGACTCAGGTTCACATTGCTGGGCTGAAAATAGCAGTGTAGATGTTCGGGCTCGGGCTGGAGCCAGGGTGCTGAAACCCAGGAAGGCTGGAGGGTCTCAGAGCCCAGGCTCCAGCCTCAGCCTGAAAGTCTACACTATTTTTAGCTCTTCAGCTCAAGCCCATTGACCTGGGCTCTGAAAGTCACTGCTGCTGGTCTTTTTTTTTTTTTTTTTTTTTGCTGCGTAGACATATCGCCACATCCCAGATGATAGTCCTAACCACCAGGCTATTGGCTATTCTGTGGTGGGTATCTCTCATATTGACCAGAAGATATGTGAAACGTTCCTGTGAAAAATGTTGATTTTGATGAATCCACATTTTTCTACTAAGCACCATTTCATCAAAACATTCCCAACCAGCTTTAGTTGTGACATATCTTTAGGCACTTTTTGTTGAATGGAATGGGAGAATATCTATATTTCTAGTTTTAATTCAACCTCTCCCTTTACCTAGTATGACAAAGTTTCTGCTGTACCTTGGTGGGTCTTGCACTTATTGGCAGATTTGCTCACCTTGGAGCTTCACGGCAGCCCTCAGCTTGGCCGTTTTTCTGAACCCACAGTCCAGGTCGACGACTCCTGTGTCTGACGAGAAGTTGGGAGGATTTGGGGGGAACCCGGGCCCGCCCTCTACTCTGGGTTCCAGCCCAAGGCCCTGTGGAATGCAGCTGTCTAGGGTGCCTCCTGGAACAGCTGTGCGACAGCTACAACTCCCTGGGCTACTTCCCCATGGCCTTCTCCCAACCCCTTCTTTATCCTCACCATAGGACCTTCCTCCTGGTGTCTGATAATGCTTGTACACCTCAGTCCTCCAACAGTATGCATTCTCACTCTCAGCTCCTAGCACTTCTTGCTCCCAGCTCCTCTCACACACACCACAAACTGAAGTGAGCTCCTTTTTAAAACCCAGGTGCCCTGATTAGCCTGCCTTAATTGATTCTAGCAGCTTCTTGATTGGCTGCAGGTGTTCTAATCAGCCTGTCTTAATTGTCTCCAGAAGGTTCCTGATTGTTCTGGAACCTTCCCTGTTGGGAAACGGAACGTCTTTCGCTTGCTCCTCAGCTATCTGCTTTCTATTCTTTCCTAAAGCCCCCTGGCCCGGATTTTTCTTACTTTTTGCACCTGCCTTAGTCCCCCCTCGACCGGGCCTTTTTTGTTTTTTTGTTTTTTCTTGATTCTTTGGGTTTTTTTTCCATCTACGTGCTTCGGCCCTTAGTTTGCCAGCACCCGCCCCCCCCCACGCCTGCTTTCGGGCGCAGCTATTTGCCTCAGCTGAGCCCCCGGAGGAGGGGGGGGAAGATTGCCGATTTTGCTGTCTGGAGGGGGGAGTGGAAACCCCCAGACCCAGCCGTTTTGCCAGCAGCTCGGACTTTACAACATTCTTAGCATGCCGGAAGCCTTGGAACACAGCCAACACAGCCGGAGAAGAAGATTTCAGCAGATGGGAGAAATAATCCAGGAGAGCTATAAATCATCGTGAAGGGGGCCGTAAGACTGAGTAATTTTCTGAATTATACTCTCGTGGGGGGGAGTTTGACTGTGGTTACTTGCGTTTGTGGCGCCACAGGGGGTGTGGCATGGAGACCCCCACCCCCGATCCATCGGTGCCCCTACCCCCCCATCGTTATTACAACTGTCACGGCCCCCCCGCCGTCTGTCCCTGCTGGCAACCTGCCATCTCCCTTCGGATCCAGCTGTTCGCTTTGAACTTTGCCTTCCGGACCGGACATAACAGCCGACCAACCGAGACTCTTTGGACAAACGTGTGTGGGTCTGCACCCCCCCCCCCCCGGATTGCTTATCCCACAGCTTGCCCCTATTACTGGACCCCGATTTTGGTTCCCCCCCCAGTTTAACCCCCTCGGCATTTCCCCCGTCCCTGCCCGCAGCCTAGCGGAAGGAGGGGCTACTCCGCTTTCCCCCCCGCCTTCCGGTGTCTCCCTGTCTCTCCCTGCTCACAATGGCGGGGAACGAGAGGGGCGAGACTGCTTCAACAAAATTAGTTGTCCCTCCCCCACCACCACCCCTGCCCGACCCCCAAGGTCCCCCCCCCACCACTATTGTCAAGATACTTGCCACCCCCTCTGCTGGGGCACCGGTAGCAGGAGGCACCAGGGTGATTGCTGCTGCTGCTGCACCCACCGCCCCCCCAGATTCTAGGAACCCCCCCCGGTTAGCCGGAAGGGCCAGGGCGGGTGGAAAGGAAAGGGCCCCGCTAAAACCACTAAGCCCTCCATGGCAGGGGCTGCCCCCACCGCTGTGGCCTCGTCATCAACCGTGGCGCCCCTCCCTGCGTTTCCCTCCACCAGCTCTGCGATTGTCCCTCCCCCGGCCCCCAGGACGTATGCCCGGGCGGCAGTGGGCTCCCCCCTGCCTACCGCCTCGTCATCTCACCCCCCCCCACCTCCGCCACCATCACCAGCGGCCGGGGCCCTTTCCCCGCCTTGACCAGGAAGCACGGCATCCGTTGCCTCCTGGTGCCTGCCTCGCCCCACGTGGAGACATACGTGCAGGCGTTGGCGAAGGTGGTAGGACTCACGGCTATTGTGGCGGCCTCCAAGATGTATGGGAAGGTCGTTTTTTTCTTAGCCTCGGAGGATGCCGCCCAGGAGGCGGTGGAGAGGGGCCTGACGGTGGGGGGGGTGTTTGTCTCCCTAGAACCGTTAGAAGACCTGGGCGTTCGCCTCGTCCTTACCTCCGTTCCTCCCTTCTTACCCAATGCTGCCCTGTTACCCGCTCTTTCCACTTTGGGGAAACTTGTCTCTGTTATCAGCCCTCTCCCGTTGGGCTGCAAGGACCCCACCCTCCGTCACATTTTTTCGTTCCGCCGGCAAGTGCAGCTTCTACCACCGGCAGGGGCGCGTGACGAAGAGGCGCTCGAGGGGTCTTTTCTAGTCCCCTACCAGGGAGCCCGCTATCGGGTCTTTTACTCTACCGGAGAGGCCCGGTGCTACCTCTGCCGTTCAGCGGGGCATGTCCGCAGAGACTGCCCTTTGGCCCGGGGGGGAGGGGCACCCGAAACCCTTGAGACCCAGCAGGACATCGGCCCCATCGCTGCCGACGCCCCTGGCTGCCCAGCACCTGAAACCAACCCTCCTCCTACTCGACCCATCGCTGCTCCCGTCCGGGCCCAAGAAATACCTTCCCTAAAATGCCCGGGCAAGCAAGGGAGTTCCACCCTTGCTAGTACCAATCCAACAGAGCCCATGGAGGAGGGTGTGGCAAGGATATTACCGGGTATAGGAGAGGGCCCTCCCCAAGGAGAAACCCCCGCCCCTCATGTTGCCTCACCGCTACCTCCCTGAACCCCTAAACCATCGCCTCCGCCCCCCGACACGACCCCTGCTAACCAGCCCCCAGATGACGCTATGGAGGGCTGGACCCTAGTCCAGGGGAAGCGAGGCAAGCGGAAGGCTCGAGCTCCGCTGCATCCATCCGACGCGGAAGCCCCCCGGAAGACCAGGAAATGAGGCACTGCTATCAAGCCTCCCGCCATGGCCACGAGCGAGATCCATCCGCTGGTGTCGGGAGGGGAAGACGGACTGGCATTGGAGGGCAGAATCCCCCCTCCACGGGAGACCCTCCCCTCCGAGACTTCTGAGGACGCCCCTTCTGCCTGGACACTACCCGAACCCCCCGCGGACCCCGAGGCGACCGTTGAGGCGGGCCCTAGAGGAGAGGCCCCCGGGGTGGCAGGAGTTTGGCCTCTCCCCCTTGTATGCGGAGATTGAGGCCCTAGATTTGACCCCGGTCACCCAGGGAGGGGATGATCTGCTGCCGGCTGGCCTTGAGCTAGGCAGCCTTACCCCAGCCTCCCTTTCCCCATGCTCCCTCCCCCTAATTGCCTTCCCGGGTGAGCACCCTGCAGAAGGTGGTCCACCACCTGATGCCATGGCCGCTAAGACCACCATGGAGCCAGCACCTAGCATTATTGGGAGCCCCCTCCCATACCCCTTAACCCTTGACTCTGCTCAGGAGGCACTTTCCTTTAGCTGCTTACCTCCTGAACCCCAGAGCCTTACCCCTGCCCCTGCCCCCACCCCTGCCCCTGCCCAAGTCCCTTCCTCCTGCAATGTTAATGCTGCCCCTGGGGTTATTTCCTTTCCGCCTTTCGCAGATTCCCCCCAGGGAGCAGTCTTTGCACTTTCTAGCCGCGACCCATTAGGAGTGGCAATTTTTCCCCTGCCATCCTCCTCTACCCCAAGGCGTGAAATGAATTTAATAACCCCAGCCTGTCAGACGCCCCGTCGGTGGTCCGCACCCTGTCTACCCGCCTTAGCGGACCACGAGGCTGTATTAAGAGGCCCATCAGGGAACACCTCGGGAATTGTAGCCCCACTCCCCCGAGCTGCGGCATGCGCTACGGAAGTTCCTAGAGCACACCCGTGGCGCCCGCGATAGGGCACAGCTGGCTCTTCAGCTATGGGGGGACTTTGATCAAATCCTCCAGGCCACAAGGGCCCTCATAAAGGAGGGCAGGGGGCAAGGAAGGCGCGGTGCTGCGGCCTACGAGCGAGCCCGCAGCTTCCGACACGATCTACTCACCCATGGGATGGGTCACGGGTTGCTGCGCAACCCGCCGGGGGCCCTGAACACCCCCGCCAACACGAGGCCCCCACCCCCCCAGCCCTCCGCATGACACCTTATATTATTGCGACCCTGAATACCAGGGGCTGTAGGATGGCTCTCCGCAGGTCCCAGGTGCTCTCTTACCTTCGGGAAGGAAGGTACTCTGTAGTTTTCCTGCAGGAAACCCATACGGACCCAGCCGCCGAGGACAGGTGGCGGCTGGAGTGGGGGGACGGGGTATACTTTAGCCACTTCGCGACCTGGCAAGCTGGAGTGGCGACCCTGTTCTCCCCCAACCTACGGCCTGAGGTGCTAGGGGTCAATGAGGCCGTGCCGGGCCACCTGCTGCACCTTCGAGTCCGTATGGAGGGGCTCGTGGTTAATCTTGTTAACATCTATGCCCCGCAACTGAGCTCCAGGCGGCCACAATTTTATCAGCAGGTGTCCAACTTTCTCGGCACCCTGGATTCGCACGAGTGCCTGGTCCTGGGAGGGGACTTTAACACCACCCTCGAGGAATGGGACCGCTCAGGGGCCGAACCGAGTCCGGCCGCTGCGAATATTCTCCAAGGGATAGTTGACCATCACTCCCTAGTGGACGTCTGGCGTGACCATCACCCAGATGACACCTCCACATTCACCTTTGTCCGGGTGGAGGCCCATCGGTCACACCACTCTCGGTTGGACCGTATTTACTTATCCCGTTTCCATCTTTCACAGGCGCACTCCTCCGCCATTCGGCCGGCCCCATTCTCCGATCATCATTTAGTCACTGTAACGGTCTCCCTCCGTGCAGAGAGACCAGGGCCGGCCTATTGGCACTTTAATAACAGCCTGTTGGAGGACGAGAGCTTTGCGATGTCCTTCCGGGAGTTTTGGCTGGCCTGGAGAGAGCAGCGGCATGCCTTTCCCTCGGTGCGGCGATGGTGGGATCTTGGGAAGGTGCACGCCAAGCTCTTCTGCCGTGACTACACTCGGGGCACCAGCCGACGGCGAAATGCGTCGATAGAGAAGTTGGAACGGGAGGTCTTAGAGATGGAGAGGCGCCTGGCCGCCGATCCCGAGGACCCGTCCCTCTGCGGAGCGTGCCGGGAGAAGTGGGAGGAGCTCCGGGCCCTTGAGGACCACCGGGCCCGAGATGCCTTCGTTCAGTCCCGCATCCGCCTCCTTCGGGAGATGGACCGCGGCTCCCGCTTCTTCTATGCCCTGGAGAAAACGAGGGGGGCCAAGAAACACGTCACCTGCCTTCTTGCAGAAGATGGCACCCCCCCTCACGGATCCGGAGGAGATGTGTGGGAGGGCCCGTGACTTCTACACAAGCCTTTTCTCCCCGGACCCGACCAATCCTGACGCTTGCGAGGTGCTCTGGGAGGAACTCCCCACGGTCAGCGTGGGCGACCGAGACCGACTAGAGCTGCCTCTCACCCTGGCCGAGTTCTCGGAAGCCCTCCGTCGCATGCCCACCAATAAATCTCCGGGCATGGACGGGCTGACCGTGGAGTTTTACCGCGCGTTCTGGGACATTCTCGGCCCAGACCTAGTCACCGTCTGGGCTGAGTCCTTGCAGAGCGGGGTCCTCCCTCTGTCGTGCAGGCGAGCGGTGCTCGCTTTGCTGCTGAAGAAGGGGGACCTCCGCGACCTACGAAACTGGCGTCCCGTCTCACTCCTTAGCACAGATTACAAAATCGTAGCGAAAGCAATCTCGTTGCGGCTAGGGTCCGTGATGGCGGACGTGATCCACCCAGACCAGACCTATACTGTCCCGGGTCGCAGCATTTTTGACAACCTCTTTCTAGTCCGAGACCTTTTGGAACTCGGGCGGAGAGATGGTCTGTCGTTCGCCCTCCTGTCTCTTGATCAGGAGAAGGCGTTCGACAGAGTAGACCATGGGTACCTCCTGAGCACTCTGCAGGCATTTGGATTCGGACCTCAGTTTGTGAGTTTTCTCCAGGTGCTGTATGCCTCCGCGAAGTGTTTGGTTAGGCTCAACTGGACCCTGACTGAACCGGTCAGCTTCGGGCGAGGAGTGCGGCAGGGGTGCCCCCTCTCGGGCCAGTTGTACGCTCTGGCGATCGAGCCTTTCCTCTGTCTCCTCCGCAGGAGGATGACAGGGTTGGTGCTGCGGGAGCCGGAGCTGCGGCTGCTCCTGTCGGCATACGCCGATGACGTACTCCTCGTGGTCCAGGACCCGGGCGACTTGGCGCGAGTGGAGGCATGCCAAGCCATCTATTCGGCAGCCTCCTCCGCCCGAGTCAACTGGGTCAAGAGCTCTGGCTTGGCGGTGGGGGACTGGCGGCAGGTGGGCTCCCTCCCACCCGCACTTCAGACCATCCGGTGGAGTGCGGGTCCACTGCTCTATTTCGGCGTTTACCTTTCCGCCACACATCCTTCTCCGCCGGAGAACTGGCAAAATTTAGAGGGCGGGGTGATAGAGCGGATCCGGAGATGGACGAGGCTACTCCGATGTCTCTCCCTCCGAGGGAGAGCACTGGTGCTTAACCAACTAGTCCTGTCCACGCTCTGGTACCGGCTCAACACCCTGGCCCCGGCCCCGGGTTTCCTGACCCACCTCCGGAGATTGATTCTAGAGTTCTTCTGGTCAGGAACGCACTGGGCCCCTGTTGGAGTTCTTCATCTACCCCTGAAGGAAGGAGGGCAGGGCCTGAAGTGTCTGTACACTCAGGTCCGCGTTTTCCACCTCCAGGCCCTGCAGAGGCTCTTTTATAGTGCACGTAGTTCGGCGTGGAGCATACTGGCGCACGCCTTCCTGCGCCGTTTCCAAGGGCTTCGATACGACCGGCAGCTCTTTTATCTTTTTTCACTTTTTATCTCTTTTATCACGAACTGCAGCCGGTTAGCTTTCAAATTGCACCACGGAAATACTTATATACATTTACGCTTCACATCCTTCACGCCCACACCCTGGTGTCCCGCCCCGATACAAAGTGGCGGGACCTCCTGCCACCTTTGGAGGGTGAGCAACCTCGGTGGGCCAGCCTGTATTCCACCTTGGTCCCAAGGCCCGTTGGGGACATCAGTTGGCGGCTCCTTCACGGAGCTGTGAGCACGGGCGTGTTTCTGACACAGTTTACCCCCATCCCGGACACTTGTCCTTTCTGTAATGTGAGGGAAACCCTGGCGCACGTATATTTAGAGTGTGCCAGGTTGCAGCCCCTTTTCTGGCTCCTCACAAATATTCTATTACGCTTCTGGCTTCATTTCTCCCCTCACCTTTTTATCTATACAATTCCCATCCGTGGCCCCACAAAGTCGCGGGATCTTCTGGTCAACCTCCTCCTAGCCTTGGCTAAAACAGCCATTTATAAAACCAGAGAGAGGAGGTTGGCCCATGAAACGTCCTGCGATTGTGGGGCCTTTTTCCGATCCTCAGTACATTCACATATCCGGGCGGAGTTCCTCTGGGCGGCGTCCACCGACTCCCTTGACGCCTTCGAGGAGCGGTGGGCGCTGTCTGGGGTTCTCTGCTCGGTGACCCCGTCCGGTTCCCTCCGTCTGACCCTTTGATTGAGGGGAAGAGCGAGAGACGCCAGCCCCAGCCGTTGCCGCTGTGGATACCATCATTCCTGTTATCTAGGAGGGGTCCTATAATACATGGGTGTCTACCCCCCCCACCCCGAAACCGCCCACCCCGCAGCCGTGCCCATCTTACCGGGCACTCTCAGGAGAAGGAGGATCGGTGACACTGGGCGCGGCACTGGGTAACTCAAGGGGGTGGAAGACCACGAGTGTCGAGGAAGCCCCCCCCGCTCTAGGCCACCAGGTAACTCAGGAGGGTGGAAGACCACGAGTGTCGAGGAAGCCCCCCCGCTCTGGGCCCAGGCTAGCCTGAACACTTCTCCCTCCTGAAAGCTGCTGTGTTATACCTTCTAATTGCGTTGTTTTGTTGCATAGTTGTTTTGTTTCCTTTCGTAATTCTGTAAGCGTTACCAATAAACTTTCTTTCTGTTTCAAAAAAAAAACAAAACCTTCCCTGTTACCCTACCCAGGGAAAAGGGACCTACTTAGCCTGGGGCTAATATATCTGCCTTCTATTACTCTCCTATAGCCATCTGGCCTGACCCTGTCACACTAGTAGTATGCATGAGCCTGTGCTTGAAGAATAGATTTGATATTTATAGTTGGGATTTTGTGCTGCCTAAAAATGCATCAACATGTGAAAAGCCAATCTTCTCTTTTGCAGAACTGATGCTGAATAAAAATATTTCAGTCACAGAGAACCGTTCCTTCCAGTTGGATGTTTTGGTGAATGACACAGAGTTTCATGGCCCTGAAAGATCTGTGATGCTCCACTTCAATGTCTCCATTCTTCCCGTCAGCATTCAGTTCTCTAATGTGACTTACCAGTTCGCGGTGAACAGAAATGCTGAACGTTTTGCACAGGTAAGGACTGTCTTAATTGCTTTTGATTCTGGCATTGTTGAAGATAAACCTTGTAAAAGTGAGACAGCTTGGAGGGAAATGTGTACATAAAAAAAACAAAAAAACAACCCTCCAGGATTTCAGAAAGGTCCACAAATACCAGATGACATTGCAAATCTGTTCTGACCCTGAGGCAATGTTACCTAGTAGTTAGAACCCTGGACTGGGATTCAGGAAACCTAGGTTGTCATATTGATTCTGCTACTGGTCTGCAAGTCACTTTGCTTCTCTTTGCCTCATTTTCACCCGTGTATAAAATGATGTGTGTATTACAGAGCCTCATTTTGCAAGGTGCTGTACAAATACATAGTCAGGGACAGTCCCTGCCGCAAAGAGTTTATGATCTAAATAACAAAGCATTGTGACCCTCCGGATCACTATCACACTTATATGTGATTACTGCTTTGCCAACATCCAGTCTGTGTGGCTCTAGAAACTAGCACCAGCTAATCTGGAAGCAGAGAATTTTTAGATGGCTGTACTCTGATATGATCATCAAATCTGAGTCTTTGAAATGAAGCATGGTACTTCTGAAAGTGAGCAGTGTCTTAAAAAATGCTTCCAAGCTTGGCTTCATCCTCACTGCATCTATTCCTTCCCAAAGTTTGCAGAAGATAGTGTCAGCATTCCCACTTCTTTGCACAGAAACAAAAAGGTGGATTCTACCAGTCAGGTGGACATTGCCACCCGCTTCTAGGTGGGCTTCTCCTGGTCTGCCTAGCTCTGATAAGACAGATTTCCAGCTGACAGGCCAAGCGCTTGTCCTTGGTGGATGGCCCTAGCACCTGGGATAAGGGAGGCTTGAGAAGTCAGAGATGTGAGCATGTGTTTTCCAATATACACATAGCTCCAACCAAAGCCTTGTCAGACATTAAACAGAAGTGAGCTATCGTAATGCATAATGTAAATATGACCTTGTCATAGTTACGAGGTGAACTACACCTCTGATGTCTCCTAGTCTTGTGGAGGTCACCCACTTCCAGGTTGCAGTCTCTAGCCATCACCTGGCTCAGGGTGGAATCCCCTGATTCTCCCATACCTGGGATGCAGTCCCCTGGTACTATTCATGAATTTCTAGCAGGGCTGATTTAGGCTCATATCCTGCAGTTGTTTTCCGTCCAGGTCAATGACAATAGTAACCAGTGACCAAACAGCTCCTTAAATCAAATAATTATTTATTTAGAACCAGAGCATTTAAGAGAAAACAGATCTTAAAACACACCACTCTAGCTTACCAGGTGTTTAACCATCTTCCACATGGGCATTCTAGGAGCATTGTTCTCTATAGACTCTCTTCCACAGAGCCACTCTCTTTCTGAGCCTGTCAGAGCTCACTGATGCTCACTGGACACCCCCTAGCAACTCACCCCCCTTCACAGGAATCAGTTTACTTTTAAACTGATTATAACCCTTTGGCAACTCCTAGCAGTGGCAAAGCAAGATTTACAACCGGAGAGAAGGTGTTTGAAGCTAGCAAACAGACCCTTTGTATTTCTTGATTATGCCTGTATGTTTTTATCTGGGAAGCCATTTTGTTGCTTCCCTGCTTGTTGTTCCCAGAGTCCCCTATTAAGCTAGATCAGTGCATTCATGTAGGAATGTCACATACCGTGTTCATAAAATTGTTACATGTCAGTATTTGTGACATTATTATAGATTATTACGTAGCAACTCCGCTTCTGTTAAAGGCCCTATATTAACATAAATAGAGCAAACAAATAGTTCCTTAGGTTGTTCACTGGACAAAGCCTTTTGGACCCTAATTAAAGTGATGTAGGAAAGAATGACAATGGAAAAGGGTAAAAAAATCAAGTGGAGAAGATACGCCTACTGCAATATGTTCATGGATTTTCCCTAGATAATGGCTACTCATTAATTAATGTGCTTCCTAATTTAACCCTCATTTCAGTTTAATCACCATCATCGCCATTAATAATACCTTCTAGTAACATTTCCAACAGATTGACATTAATCAGTGGTAAATTACAGTGAATTCCTGCAGAACATGCATGTTAATACTAAACTAACTTATTATAATGAATATTGTGGAAAGATGAAATGTTTCCATATTCTAAAACCTTGTGACAAATAGAGACGTAAGAAGTCCTGTGTACTTGTAACACAGAGCAGTGTTGAGACTAACCTGTTTTTCCCGCCTCCCATTGTGAAGGAAACTTAATAATCAGATGCCTTACTTATCTTTAAGCTTCCGGTTAGTCAAGGAGAAGAATAAAAGAGGAAAGCAAGATATATTATGGTCTAGATAATACTAAGCCCTGCCGTGAGTGCAGGGGACTGGACTAGATGACCTCTCAAGGTCCCTTCAAGATCTATGATTATCTGGCTTCACATTTAATTTTGATACCAATTTAATGTTCACGGAATGTGCTGCTGGATTGGCAGCTTTTGAGACTGCAGAACAGGCTCCACACAGATAATAGTAATGATGACTTCCCAATCAATGGGCATAAGGCAGGGTCTGCAGTTACCATCCCTAACAAGTAGAGGCTACTTCAGTCACTGGGCTTTTTACAAAGAGTGCCAACCAGGGTCCAGACTGTGGCAGTTGTCTTTATTTCTGGTGATTGTTCCTTTTTGTTTGGTGCTTGGGGTTTTCCTGTTTAGTCTTGCAGACTCCGATCCGTGAGAAACTTGCATGCAAATGCTGTTGCCCTTCTGGTGCTTTTTGCACAATCCTTTTAGTAAAAAGAAAAGGAGTACTTGTGGCACCTTAGAGACTAACCAATTTATTTGAGCATGAGCTTTCGTGAGCTACAGCTGCTCATGAAAGCTTATGCTCAAATAAATTGGTTAGTCTCTAAGGTGCCACAAGTACTCCTTTTCTTTTTGCGAATACAGACTAACACGGCTGTTACTCTGAATCCTTTTAGTGTTACACTGGCTTTTGTAGTGCCAGATTGTGAACCTCTTACTCTCAGTGGTGTGCATTTACTCTCACTAGCAGCTCTGTTGAAAGCAATGGGGTTATTCAGGGGAGTAACTGCTTAGTCATGTGAATAAGGTGTTCTCAATCGGGCCCTTATTACTTAGAGATGAACCTGAGCCATATGTATCTGAATATTGATCCAAGCTACTCCTAAATCCAGCAACGTTATTTTCTGTGGCTCTAGCTTGGGCTTATCTCTGTTAAAAATCATTGTTCCCAAGCATAACAAATCAGTACAGAAAGGCAATGTGTGGAAGCCGCAGACTTTTCATTGTGTTGGGACCATTGAACATTCTGCATTTTCAAAGGAATTCCCCTTTCTAATCTCAGCAGCTTCATTTCCTGACATGTAACGGTCTTGGTCTCGTTTCACTGGATGGCTGTAGTAAGAGGGAAATGTTCCTGAGATAAAGAGCTCTGTGTCTGTGGAAGCCGTGTCTGTATGTGCTTGCTGAATTCTAATTCCCAAAGAGATTCTGTTCTGAGGTTTAACTGGGGGGGCGCGGAATCAAAGCCAGAATGGGAATGGCTTTCTCAGTCAGGAGTCACTTCTGAGAGGTGGATTTGAAGGTTCAGTGTGGTCTGAAATCAGCCCAACTAAGATGCTAGCAGCTTAGTTCCTAGAGAATGGCATTCCATGTCATCGAAGCATTATGCATAATTAACTATAATTAGCCTGTGCAGTGAGGAAAAGTATAGAGCCAAATGAATATGAAGGCTGAAACAGCTCTGACTCGAAGGAAAACATGAGCGTGTGTTAGTTAACCTTCTGGCCAATGCCATTTGTCCGTTTTAGCAGCCAAATGAATGGAGTAACAGGATAATGGCCTGACGGAACCTGTGCAACTCACTTAGCTCTTCAAAGGTCTTAGAGCCCTGTCCTTATTTACTCCAACCATTGATGAAAAATATAGGCCAAAATTTTCAATTTACCTCTGGCAGTTGGGTACCCAAATCCCACTGAAATTCAATGGAAGGGGGCACCATAATCCATTATCCAAACCTTCCTAAGATTACCTGTCTTGTACCTCTCTAAATTAATTTCTCCCTTCCCATCATTTCTGAAAACCAAGATATTTGTGTCTTAACTGATGGCCTCTCTTTTAATACCATCCTGCTCCTTGCCTGAATCCTGCCCTGACGTTGGATCACATTACTGCTGATTACTGAAGTATTTTCTGAGGAGGTAGCAGCATTCCTCTTAATAAGTCGGAAGCGCTGTCTGCCTGTTTCTGCCTGAGTCCAGTGAGGCTGCACTGCGGTATGTTTAAGGTCACCACCAAAGTTTCCATTAGACGACGACTTATAGTCGTGTAATCCTGGGGCAGTAACGCCTAGGAAAGAACCATCCAGATAGAAACGGCTTCTTTTCTTTGACAAAGTACCTCGGGATCCCCTCTGTTGCTTCCCCTCTGTATAGAACAGGGGAGAGCAGAGCTGTTGTGGGGCTGCACTGAGGGAAACCTGGCTGTGAAGGATGCTTCTCCATCCCCTAATGATCTGCACAGCCTTTCCCATCCCCTTCACAGGAAATCTCTATGGCTGACAGGCTATGTGGAGAAGGTGAGAATGGCTTGATGGGAGAGGAACAGACAAGGAACACCCACTGTCCCCTCCTACACAGGCTAGAGTCCATATAATAACTGTGGTTAATGCTGCTTGGAGCGGCTTTCATTTTCCCCTGCTGCGTTCTGGAACCACTGTGGTGGGGATTGCAGAGCTAGGTCAGTGGCAGTACAACACGACATCTACCGTGCTGTCATTGCCAAGAGACTTGGTTCTAGAAGGGGACCAGAGGGACCTAAAGCTACCTTGTGTCCAGCCAGGGACTTGAGAGCAATCTCAGCCTTAAGTCTTTTTACCTCCACCCGCTGCTTGTTTACTTGCCAGTTCCGTGGCGCAGAGGAGAGAAGGCAGCCCACATCATAAGCAGCCTAGCTTTTGGAATGTTTTATTCCTGTCCCTGCATTCTTCTGCCAAAAAGAAACACATGGCCCTAAGTGGAATGGAAATAAAGAAATGTAAAAGCAGTTAAATGGGACCTTCCTATAATAAGATTTCTCATTAGTCTGAATCCAAGAATGACGGTTTCACTTCAGGAAATGGATTTACCTAGATTTATTTTAAAAATGCTAGAAGTAGCATTTATCTGTGTGTGCTAGGCCCACCTGGCATAACTTTAAAGCATATCTTAAGTGTTTTAAATTTAAGATGACCCACCACAAATCTCCCTGCACCCTTACCATTAAAGTTCTCCCCATAAATAAATCAAATGCTATATTGGTCCTGATTCAAATCTCATTAAAATCAATGGAAAGACTTAGATGGGTTTTGAATCAGGTACTATATGAATTAGACAGGATATAAGGATTTACATTCCTGTGCTGCTTAGATAAATAGTTTCAGAATGTAGAGTGGTCTAGTGTATATACTACTCCAGGCAGAAACTCCTACAGCAATAATCCTCTCCCTGTTTTCATTTTAAATGACAATGCTTAACTGCCACCAGCAAATTGAAAAAGATGAGGTCCTTCTTTCTTTAGAGACTTTTGGATGCTTCTGTTGGCCAGAAACTTCTGACCATAATATTGTGCCACTCATATCTAAGCAGCGAATAATTAGAACGTTAGAATAGTGCTTCTGTAATTGCTTTCCATTAACTTTCTGTCTTCCTTCATTAAGAATGTCATCTCTTCAGTTTTTGGACTAATTACTACATTGTCTTTATGGCACAAAAATATTTTACTCTATCTAATTTGAAGTTTCAACCTCTGGAGAATGGAGTTTGAGGTTATACAACTTTCGGAAACTTTTGTGTTTTTTTAGAATTTAAAAAAAAAAGTTACTCGTCGCCTGCCAATGAATATATTGCCATGAGGTCAGATAATTTATTTCCGGTATAATCTTTCTCCTGAGTGGTAGAAAATGTGGCTTTTTTAGCTCTTTCTTCCTACCTTCATTATTTATTTATTTAAAGTTGTTCCTAGAGACTCCTACTGAGATCAGGGCTCCTTTCTTCTAAGGCATCCTTACAAACGTGTACAGCCCCTGAGACAAAAAGCTTGCAGACAAAAGGTGGGAGGGGAAACAGAGCAGTGAAGTGACTTGACTCTAGTCATGCAGCAAGTTAGTGGCAGAGTTGGGAATAAATCCAGGTCTTTTGAGTCCCATTCCAATACCCCGTCCAGTGGACCACAGAGCTCTGTTTGAAAGGGTCTTCAATTTGTGCACACTACACCAAATTGCACAGTTTCCTCATGCTGGTGTAGGGTTTTCACATGCACTTATTTGCTCAGATATACAGCAGGGATACTTTTCAAGTCTAGCTTTGAAATAGCAACTTCATTATATCTCCTGGGAGCTCTGATTGGTTTATTTTGCTCCATTCTAAAAAGCCCAATAGAAAAGGAATAAAAAATTGCTTTTTGGCAACACTGCAATTTTTTAAACCAAAACTAAGTCATCTGGAAAATATAAAATAATTATGCTGATTCTGCTTCATTGTGTGTGTGTGTGAGAGAGAGAGAGAGAGAGAGACTTTCAGCTCTTAAGTCATCCATAAAGTCATCGCAGTTTAGTAGAGTGATGAAAAAAATCTCCATGAAGTTTCCACTAGGGCTGGGCAATAAAGAGAAGGAAAAGGGGAATTGTTTTTGATATTTTCAAAAACAGTTTTGATTACGGTTTTTTTTAGTTTATTTCCAAGTTAGGAAAATAAAAATGTCAGAATTTTGGAACCTGAAATATTTCTACCGGCTCTATAGCTTGCGCAAAAAAAATGGGAAAACTTTACAAAATTTTTCAAATGTCAAGATTAGAAAAATTTCCATCCATTCTAGTTTCCACATCATGCTTCTAACACAGACAGGCCTGATTCTCCTCTTGCTCGCTTTGAGTGTGCCCATTGATTTCATCAGCAAAACTGAGAGCAGGACCTGGTCCAAAAACTCTAGCACATGCAGTATGCTTCTGTTCATCTGTAGAAATAACGTACCTATTTTGAATTGAATAACATGGTTTTGTTCGTTCTTGGAAAAGAAATAGATATTGGGGCCTGAGGCTGCCATCGTTTTCCACTTAAAAGTCCTGTTGTTGTCAATGGGCATTGTGTGTAGATGAAATGTGTGATATTTATGATAGCGTCATTATAACTAGTATCCCAGTATTTTCTAGTGAATTCCTTGCAGAGGATCTTTGAAAGAAACATATTTTGGCTGCATGGAACTGGATAGGATGAAGAATGATGGTCTGGTGGATGGGCCACTAGCCTTGGATTTGGGAGACTTGGGTTCAAATCCCTGCTCTGCCTTGGGCAGGTCAGTTAGTTTCATGTTTGTAAAGTTGGGATAATGCTACTTCCCTACCTCAGAGGGGTGCTTTGAGGCTCTCAGATACTACTGTAATGGGGGCCATGTAAGAACAGTAGACAGAGAGATGCTGAATATTGCATGTATTTAACTAGCTTTAATCACTGAGAAAGATTTGTAGTGAGCGCAAAGTATCGTGATCTCTTTGTGTTGTTTGAGCCTAGATAGGTAAAATCTGCATCGAAAACTGCATGAAGTTCTGTGGAGTAAACATCACCTACAGGTTGCTGTCTCCCAGTGCCAGCTGCTATGCTGTAGGGATACTTCAGGGCCGAGAGGACAAGTATGGAAGCCTCTATGTGAATGACTCCTCTGTGCTACTCAGACCCGAATGCAAAGAAATTCAATACACCATTGTAGCCTCAGACAAGCAGAGTAAGAAGCATGCCAAAACCCAGCTCACTATTACACTGGAAGGAACAGGTAAGTACTTGAGATGGATGGGGGAGAAAGGTTGGGAAATGTTGATATTAACACTGTATGAGGAATTATGGATACTCACTGATATTACGCTTTAAAGTCTGTGACCAAACAAGGGAAGAAACAGGTTTTCTTCCAGACAGGAGGGAAGGCAGCTATCTCCCTGTCTCTAATATCAATTAAGCATTGTGGAACCAAAACAATGGAAGCCTCTTGACATACAATCAACAGGAGGATGGGAAGGCAAAGGATGAGAAGAAAACCAGGAGGTCTTCTTGACTCTGGGGACAAAACAATGAGTTTTAGGAAATATAAAGAGAAGCAAAAAGTTATTTGGGCACCCATCACTTGGGGGTAGTGGGACGCAAAGGGACCAGCACCCTCTGATTCTGTGAGTGGTGGATCCTCCAGCCTGAGCGGCTGGGGATGCTGATAGCTTGATGTAAGTGAGGAAGCCACTTAGGCAAAAGGCTGTAGCTTTCTTAAATTAAGTTTGGTCACTAAAAAGCGTGTGCTTTGTATTTTATTTGTTACCAGATTTGTCTCTGTTTCTCTTGCTTAGAATCACTTAAATCTATGTTTTGTGTTAATAAACTTATGCTTACTTTTCCTATAAGCCACCTCTGCTCTGTTATACTACAGTAAAGGTGTGCTCCCTCAGTTGATCCAACAGGCTGGTGTATGTTCTGTCTCTTTGGAGACAGCAGATTTGGTAATTTCTGGGAGTCAGAGGAACTGGACACTGCAAAGGGAGACATCTCTGTGGAATTCGGGAACTGGGGTACACTCGTTGTTACTGGCAAGACAAGGTTTAGACTGGCAGAGTACAAGGAGTTTACTGCTGTAGCAGGGAGTGTAAGCTCCAGAAAAGCGCTCTCTCACTGAGGTTAACACAGTGGCTTATGGTTCTGAGCTCCCTGAGGAGACCGTCACAACTTGTTTTAGCTGGGCTTGTCTCTTTCAGTGTTAATTTTTAGGCAAGTGCCTTGTTAGAGCAGTTCATACACTGGTGAAATTAACAATAGAAATGAGCCTGAGCCACCGAGTTCAGATCAGATCCCAAAGTTTGGGTGTTTGGATTAGGTGTTTTGGTTCAGACTCCTTTCAAATTCACATTTCTAGAGGATATGTGAAGATAGATATTGTGTTAGATATAAAAGGAGTTTCATCAAATGCAATTCCTTATATTATAAACCATGATTAGCTTTGTAAGAATCTACTTTTTGTGTGTGTTTGTTTCATATACATGTATCCCTCTTCAGTTTTGTCATTGCAAAGCACTTCCTTGTCAGACACACCTTTCTCCTTGTTTGTTTCTCCTCTTAATACTCATGCAGAACATGAGGTATAAAAATTTAGGCTTGTGCATAGAGTTGAACACATGCTCTGGAAAAGGGCAGTAAATTAGCCATTTAGCAGCCTCGTAATATTCAGTGTAGTGCATATGTAGCAATAAACACTGCAGTCCTTCACTCTCCTGGACTGAAGATTAAAACAACAAAATGTTAGAAAATGTGCACGGGAGGCACTGAAGTTATGTTAGATGCTTCTCATTTTGTTGTTCATACTATAATCATTGTCAGGCTGCTTAAAAACAGGCAAGGGAACATTACAGAAACGGGACTAGACAGCATGGTAGCACGTGTGGTCTACATTAGGGGTCAGTTCTCTTCCATTTGTTTCTTTTTCTGTACTTTCCACTTATTTAATTTTATATGTCCTTATGGTAGCCTCCAAATATGTAACCCATGACTCTGCTGCACAAAGATGTCAGTGTGAATTCCAATGGGCTTGTTTACCACCAACAACCATTTGTATTGTATCTATTTTTTGCTGGTTTAGTCATTTTACCCAGCCTTTGCCTAGTACTTAATATGGTACCACACTTGGTTCATTGTAGCAAAAGTGTCAGGGTTCAAACTTCACAGAAAAGGGAAGATCTGTGTAAGTAAACCGTATAACACCTCCCTGGATCACAAGAACAGATTGGGACTATACTTCAATCTACCAAACCATTAAGTACTCTCTAAGAGAATTGTCCACGCAGAACAGTTAACTTCCAGCAGTTGATTGCCCCTATTCCTTTGAATTATGTAAATAACGTGACCTCAGATGTTAAGTTTGGGGCAGATTGGGGAAATGGACACAGGGGATCAGTCGTGCTATTCCTCCCGCCAGAGTTTTGTGCTAGTTGCAATCAGAACCTCTCCGTGCCACCTGCTGTTTGCTGGCCCAGTGTCACACCAGCCCAAACAACAAGGGTCATGCCTTCATCAGCTGTCTTTTTCTGAATCCATTGTTTGTATTATAATTGGTACGTTAGTGCATCGTGCAGCCTTTCTGTAATTCCAAGCATTATGCCCAGCAATCAGAGAGGGCAATGCTTCTGCCACCACCCCTTTGATACTAAATAGGAAGAAGATACACAGCCCTGGTCCCTTCAGTCTTTATTCTAAATGTATTGAGGGATAGTCCTCAAAGTTAACTGTGTTCTCTCATTTTTAATCTAGAAAAAGGAATTTCTCCTTTTTAGAGCCCAGCTGCCTTGAATGTGTATTCACCTCTATCAATCCAGCTAGTGACACCTCACGTTGTCTTGCTTCCGTTCCACGCAGTTATTAAGAAAGAAGAGGACTGTCCTGAATCTTGCGCTGTTAATAAGCACCGTGCTGAATGTGAAGAGTGTGGTGGTGTAGGAGTGCTAACAGGAAAATGCGAGTGGAGACAGGGAAGTGGAAAAGGTACACACTTCTGCTGCGTAATTGGCCAGATTGTCAGCTGATGTTAAATTGGCACAGCTCCATTGACTATGGTGTAACTGTGCTCATCAGTTCCAGCTGAAGAGATACCCCAGGGTATTAAACCATCCAGAACTTATGGTATAAATAATACACAAATAAAACCTGAAGGAGGGAGGAGAGCAGAGTTACGGGGAAGACGTCATTAATCCAATCCCTGGGGCCCACCCATCACAGCACCTGCAGGTATCAAATTAGCAATCACTGGGAATGAAGAGAAGAATATGGCCTGTTGGATGCAACATAACCCCTTGCAATCATGACCTGAGTTTGGAACAGCTCAAATTCTACAAAATCCCACCAGCAGATATTGGCTGGTACAACAGAGGTCTCAGTTTGAAACCATTATCCAAAACTTGAGAATGTGTGCTCTGTAACACTTACGACACATTGCTTATGTGACAAATTATGGTATTCTTAAATATTCCATAGCAAACTTGATGTTTTACTCTTGCCCTTCTATTAATATCACAATTTCCCTCCAACTATTTGTAAACCTTTTGTTCAATCACAGGCTTGTGAAAATACATTTAAAGAGGGATCATCAGTTTTAAAAAGCAAACTTTGTACTCAGGATGTTTCACCTACCTTTGTTGCAAATAACACCGAAGATCACCATAACTGAAACTGACAGCGCACAAAGGGCCGTCAAATGCACCAAGTAGATAAACTGAAAACCCAGTGAAAAACAGGTTTCAGAGTAGCAGCCATGTTAGTCTATATTCACAAAAAGAAAAGGAGTACTTGTGGCACCTTAGCTCACGAAAGCTTGTGCTCAGTGAAAAACACACTTTTTGATCGCTTTCAGTTATCATCATCTTGCATGTTAGTTGTAAAAACAGCAGGTAAAGAATTTGTAGACAGAGTGTGATTTTTTTTTTTAAACTGACAGCGTCCCCTGTGTCTGTGTGTCAACATGAACCAAGAGAGTGCAATGAACTTCTCTTCAAATCATTGTGGTATTTGGACTGTTGTGTGCTTGTGTGTTCATAGGAATCACCACAAATTATTCTACCTGCACCCCAAGCATCAGGACTTGTCCAGATGGCACCTGTGACATTATAGAGAGCAAAGATCCATCAGTGTGCCCCCAAGATTGCACAAGTATGGAGTGTTTTAACGTTAATCTAAAATATAATATATAAAATAATAATTGGTATGTTAAAGCTGTGTATATTAGTCCAAGTTCTGCTTTCTTGTTTCCAGGTCCTTTGCATATATTAAACACAAATATCTATTTACAGTCTTATAGCTAATGTTTGAGTTGTGCAAAGTTCAGAGTTATGAGCCCAGTCTTCCGCCCTTTAGAGTCAATAGCCAAACTCTGATTGAATTCACTCAGAGCAAGATTGTGTTTGTCTACACTGTGCTTTTGCCTGCATCAGCTGGGGGGCAACTTCTAATATGGACCCTGCTGGCATTCACTAGGGAGCTTTAGTGCTGGTGCATATTAGAATTTACACCCCAGTTGATGCAGGCTAATTCACAGTGTAGAAAAGACCTTGGTAAATCTAATTCAGCTTGTGAACAAAACATAAACTTTAAAGTGGCAGAAATGCTTAAAGTGCTCATAGATATTTTACTATCATCTGAAAAAATCTTCACTGGTTATAAGAGGAATCAGCTGTCACTTTACAAGCAGCAAATGATGTGCTAGAAGCAGCCTCCCTAAAATCTGTAATGTTCAACATATGTAGTGGCAGATGGTTTGCTTGACAGAAGACTGAAAGAAATGGAATCTTATTGGACAATAGAAACAGGCAAGTAACACAAGCTTTCTAGATGTTATGTATGCTATCTTGTTAATGCATAAATTGAGAATGTTGTTCTGACTTAGCAGTTCAGGACACAGGGTTGGTGGTCATAGCCAATATGTTCACAGATGGAGAAATTAGTGCATTGCAGGAGTTCAAATGTGCTGACAAGTATCATTATCTCCGCTTTTATCGGCAGAAGGCATTTCTTTGGCAAAAGCAAACAATGTATTATAAAATCCTGGATGTTGTAATGCCAAGTATGTTGTGTATATATAAGATCGCTGCTAAAATATTTATTTTTATCATTCATCTATCATTTTGATGGGTAGGCACTTGGTGCTTAAATCCCAAAAATTATACAGGTTTCAGAGTAACAGCCGTGTAGTCTGTATTCGCAAAAAGAAAAGGAGTACTTGTGGCACCTTAGAGACTAACCAATTTATTTGAGCATAAGCTTTTATACATACGTGCACACCCATATGCACATATTACATATGCCACTTGCAATGGGACCCTACAAACAAGCTAATACAATTGGTTCTACTGTTGTCACCATCAAGCACAGGAAACCTATTTACGTACTAAACAAAGTCATAGAATCATAGAAGATTAGGGTTGGAAGAGACCTCAGGAGGCCATTAGTCCAGCCCCCTGCTCAAAGCAGGACCAACCCCAACTAAATTATCCCAGCCAGGTCTTTGTCAAGCCAGGCCTTAAAAACCTCTAAGGATGGAGATTCCACAACCTCCCTGGGTAACCCATTCCAGTGCTTCACCACCCTCCAGTTATCCAACCTCGATCTCCCCCACTGCAACTTGAGACCATTGCTTCTTGTTCTGTCATCAGCCACCACTGAGAACAGCCGAGCTCCGTCCTCTTTGGAACCCCCTTTCAGGTAGTTGAAGGCTGCTATCAAATCCTCCATCATTCCTCTCTTCTGCAGACTAAATAAGCCCAGTTCTCTCAGCCTCTCCTCGTAAGTCATGTGCCCCAGCCCCCTAATCATTTTCATTACCCACCGCTGGACTCTCTCCAGTTTGTCCACATCCTTTCTGTAGATGCCTCAGTATAATATGTAATTACTTTAAATATAATAGTAGAGAGAATTCTAAATGGTAGTGGGTTTTTGGTCAGGGCTGGCTGTGCCATGTGAACCCTGCTAAGAAGTTTTGAACGATGTTCACCGGACCAACCATTGCAGGTTCATCTGTGAGATTAGGTTCTACAGAACCTGAACTTCAAAGAAAATATGGGAGCTGGGTTCAATTTTGTTTGTTTACTTTAGTGTTCAGTGGTAGTGTGACCATCCAGCATTCTCTGCTCCTAGCTAAACTGCAGTGTTTGTTTTCTGATCTTCTGGAGCCACCAGATGGTCACTCCCACATCTTTCAGCTTTGGGGAGGGTTTCTTGGTAAGGGCCCCAGTTTACAGGATCTGAAGGCAGGGTAGAAAGTCCCTGCCCTCCATCAGGCAGTGAAAACAGCTGCTGATTGAATGAAAGGATAGGCATAGAGACACAATGTAATCTGTAGCACCGCTGGTAATCTGTAGAACTGCCGGAGTTTCCCTAGTAACTGTACTCTAACTCGAGTAAGCTCCATTGGACCCAATGGGGAAGCCCCATTTATATCCAGAGTGGAAGTGTTTTTTCTCTTGCTGTCCTATGCAAGGAAACACTTCCCCCGCTCTCACAAAGAACTTTTGGAGTAGAAGCAGTTGTACTTATCTGACGTTATCGTCATCCACTGCCATGAGCTTGCAAGCTGGGAAGCAATCAGTGCTCACCTCTCCAAGACAGAGGAATAATTAGGAGAATTAATTTAGGTCCCATAGGGGACCAAATGACAGGTCTGGAAACACCTATGTTTCCTGGAACAGGTCCTAGCTCTGATGGGGTTGACCCAGCATAGTCTCCTTAAATCACACGCAGTTTAGTACGTGTGGATCCCTGAGGAAAGATCTGTAAGACTGAGGTCCTATATACTTTGCAAGGATGCTGAATTCCCATTGCACTTTCCCCGCACAAATTAGAGGGTTGCTCTCATGCCATTGGCCAAAATGTCCTGTTCCCCAATTTTGGAGCACATTGCTTTGCCCACCCGTCCTCCGTCACAGAGACAGCTGCATTCCCTTTTGGAAAATACATGTAGGATTCAGTAGAAAATCATAACCTTTCTAGAAGATTTTTTTTATCCTCCTGCAAAATTTAATAAGTTATATCCCTGGTATAGAATTCTATAGGATGGTTTAAAAATATAACTATAGAAATGATCTCTTTCTCCAGTTTAATACCTGTAATCTCTATAGAACCTGACTACATTTTTATAGAACACAGTTGATTTCATCCTATTAAATCTTAGGGATGTAAAGCACTATGTAGATAAAAAAGATGATTACTACTAATAGTTTCTGTATGGAAGTATGTTTTACAGATTTTCATATGATGGTTTCAAAAGAGCCTGATTCTGCAGGAACTTTGCCATTTGGAAATCAGGCTAGCTCTGTACATAGGGTGGTTACATACAGTGTGTCCTTATGCTAAATAATAGATTATCCTAGACAATAAAACATTCATTTACAGAGGTTTTAGTGCTTTCATATTGTGCCTCTCACCAGAATATTGCAAAACACTTTGCAAAAGTAGGTATCATCATCATCTCCATTTGAAGATGGGAAAACTGAGGTGCACAGTGCTTAACTGATTGGTCCAAGATCAGAGCAAGTGGCTGTCAGAACCAGGAATAAAACCCGTCTCTTGACCACCAGTTCCTGGCCTGCTGTCACAACTAGACTGCTGTCTCCTACATATATAAGGCACACAACAGTCACAGAGCAGCAGTGGGAGAGAAAAATTAAACTAAATAAGAGAAGATTTTGAGGGAAGATTTTGGAGAGCTGACAAGGCAGAGAGAGGTCAGATGAGTTGGGAGTGGGAATCAATATTAAATAATAGATATACATGTTCCATATTTAAAGGCCATTTTAAATAAAGGCGGTATCCACCCATTGTACACATACAAAGTAAAGACATAATCCAAAATAAACTCTATGTATTCTATACCCACCTTGTCTATCATTTGTAAATCTATGAACCAGGATCTTCTATAACAGCAGTAATTGCTAATCAGACCAGTGAGCCCAGAACTAGTATTCAAGTAGTCTTTGAGTTCCCTAATCTCTTTACATTAACCCCCAGAGACCTTTTGTCCATTTTTTTTCACCTATCTTCATTTTTACTGCTTAATCTGAGCTGCACTGTCAAATTTCAAATACTTAGTAGGGTAAGCCCACAAAAACCCTTTAGTGGAATGAGCTGTTGAGGTTTGTCTTTTAACTACAGTGTGAGAATCTGAGCTTGCGTTTGTATTTGATTAGATGGAAACATCATTGGTGGTCATGAGAGAGGCGCTCATGGAATTAAATCAGGACATGGGATTTGTTACTGCTTCCCAAGACAAAACTGTTACTGTGAGAAAGATGATATTAAAGGTAAGTCTAAAGATTATTTAGCTGGTTTTACAGTTATCTTGCTCTTGTGACACTAACCTTTCCTACTATATACAATACTCCTGTCTTTGATATATAGAACCATCTAAACTCATTTACATGGTGATGGGTAATGTTCACGTTCATGGCCTGCCAGTGTACAAAGCATTAAGAAGGGAGTTCCTGGATTTGGACATTAAGGATTCCCCATGGATTTTGTCCCTGTGTTTTTGGCATAGTGTCCCCTCCCATCCAGTGTTGCACAATACACTGGTTGGCTGCCCCACAATCCCCAGAGGTGGCTGCATATCAGTGGAAGGGTGGCATGGACTTGTGGTCTGAAATCTTCAAAGGTGGTTAGGGGATTGCTTTTCACTGGACTTGAGTTAAAAATCTCAACTACAGAACTCAGAGATGGAAAAGACAGTTGTGGAAGGTGCTGGAATCACCTTATCCATTCTCCTGGGGGTAGATTGATACCTAGCTACACCTCTTGCCCTGTTTTCCAAGGAAGGCAGAATGGGAGTACTTGCAAAAGGGGAGTAGTGATTTGTTTTCTCATGAGCCTTCTCCATGAAGGACTTGTAGCACTGGACAATATATTGTTAAGTGAAAAGCAAAAAACAAAATGAAAGCAATAATACAACTAAGGACCCCCCCCCACCTCGACCCTTCTGAAGTTAGAGAGGGGTTCCCATGCAGGAAAAAGGGGAAAGGGAGACTTGAGAATACTCATAACATAGTTATACATGGTCCCGCCTCAGTGCAATAAGATAGACTAGATGGCCTTTCAAAGTCCAATCCAACCCTACATTTCTATGATTCTATAATAATATACACTTCTAGGGGAAATGTTAGTTGGTAGGGAAGTGGATCTGAAAAGGATATCAAGGGATTGTGTTCCTAGGGTCTGCAGTGGTGTTGGCAAATGACTATATGATAGGATAAGTCTCAAGGAAGAGGTCTCAGATTAAGTCAGTACCTGCACTACTAAGGGCTGTAAGACTCTAACTAAATCTAGTTACAGTTTAACAGGCATTTAGGCTTGCAATTGCCCACAGAACTTGGGGGAAATGTAGGATTTTGCAGCTGCACTGGATATATTTGCAAATGCATCACTTCTACCTTTCTTTGAGAATTAGATCCAGGGTTTTAGTGTCGCTTATGAAATTACGGTTATACGGTAAATTTAATTCAAAACCTCGAAGTAGATGCTGTTGTGAACGGTAACTAGCTACCAAAGGGGGGGCGTGGAAAGAGATGACATGGGAAAAAATTGAAAACGAAACCAGCAGAACTGTAATCAATTCCCCCTCTGCCCATAGAGCCGCTGTGTGATGACGTGTGCAAGACCGTGATTGCAGGGGCAGTTCTGCTCTCCTTCATTATCTCAGTGCTGCTCTCTTCTTATTTCATCCACCGTTACCACAAGAATTCTCCGAAACCACCGATTGCCTCAGCAGAGATGACCTTTCGGCGCCCAGCCCAGTCCTACCCCATCAGTTACTCTTCTACAAATGTCCGTCGGCCATCTCTGGACTCTATGGAGAACCAGGTGCCTGTCGACACCTTTAAAATACCTGTAAGCTTTTATATTTTATGCTTTTAAATTGCGTACTGATTCGTCTTGGCTTTTTTGCTTTGCCACGATTTGGGCTTTCTAAGGAAAGTTGTGTGTCGTGTACTGAATATGTTGTGGTAGTGCCCCAAACCCCCATTTTGATTTGAGGATGCATTGTGCTGGACAAACATTTAAGGTGAAATTCTGGCCCTATTCACTTCAGCAGGCCTAGAATTTCACTATTCGTAAGAGAGAGGCCTTCCTCCAAAGAGATTGCAGTCTAAGATTCAAATGAAATGAAACAAAAATCACCCACATGGAGGGAATAAGATAAAGATATCTAATGAATGCATGGTAATTAAACAGATCATAACTTCCTGCACAAGCCCACTGCATTCTCTCTTACTGTTAGTGTCTAAAGAAGTGTAACGCTCTAGGCACAATCTAATCCCTTATTTCTTTTGCCATTGACTTCAGTACAGGGTTAAGCTAACTGAGGTTAAACTGATTTGTCAATGTTTGAAATCTATTTGCTGACCAATATCTCTATCGTGAGGATAAATAATAGTAGCATCTATCTCTCAAAACACTCTTTGCTGGTAGATTTCAAATCACTTTTTCAAAGGAGGCCAGTAGCATTATCCTCATTTTACAGGTGGGGAAACTGAGGCACGGAGAGGCAAAGTGACATGCACAGGGTCACACAGGAGGTCATTGGCAGAGTGGGGTATAGAACTCAAGTCTCTTGAATCTTAGTCCATTGCTATCCCCTAAGAAACACTGTCTCCCTTGAATGTAAGGTGACACTGTCTAGTGATTTAAGCACAGACCTGGGAGTGAGAAGACCTGAGCTCTATTGCTAACTCAACTACTGACTTGAAGTATTTTCTTGGGCAAGTCACATCATCACTCTATGTCAGTTTCCCCATCTGAGAGACAATGGTAACTTTCTGAAGGATTTAAAATTCTCGATGAAAATTGTCATGTACTGCAAATGGAAAGTATTTAATTATTTATCAATTACTGAGCAGTAGCCTGATATCAGCTTTGCATGGGCTATTACTGTACCATTCATTTGTATAACACTTCTTGTAGTGCAATAGTTTGATTGTGAGCTAACTGTCCTGGGGTGTGGAACTAAATAATGGTCGACTAAAACAAACAATTGAATTCAAATTCAACTAGTTCCCTGGAAAGTTTGCGGCTAATTACTTTTGTTCCCTAGTACTGTCATTATTGGCTACTCCCGTTTGCAGCTAGCTGTACTGTTTGCACTTTCATTGTAAACATTATGTCGTTGTTTTAGTAATATCTTCCAGCATTCAGTTGGACTGCACGTGCTGCACTGTGGAGCTTGATCACAGGACTTTATTTTAGTGCATTGACTAAATTTTAATTTATATGGTAGGATTCTAGTTAAGGGGGGGGAATGTCAATATCCTGGCAGTATTTTATTTCATGGGCTAATTGTAGATGGCCAGAAATTGTGTAAAATGCAAACAATCAATGGGTTAAAAAAATTCATCCAACTAACATTACATTAACCGAGGTTAACAGCTCCATAACATCTGGTATCAGCTAATCTCCAATACAGGATTTTCCTTGGACATTGACCTACAGCACCACACTAAAACCCGATTATCTTAATTTCACTTATAAAGCTTAGTTTAGGGTGGGTTTATCTGCATACTTTGGAAGGCTTCTCCCCCCTGCCCTCCCACCAGTCCTTTGATGCAGTTTCTGTTGTTTGATTATACTGTATGTAGGATGCCTGCCAGTTTGTGCATTTTTTATTTATTTTCTACCTGGGCCAAATAGGATGGTGTCTGGAAAAGTCCTGTGCAGTGAAACACTGTTCTCTTGTTTGACCCATATGGCAGCGTCTGATACATTTGGATGTTAGATATGGATGCCTTCATAGTAGCTTGTACTCTATTTGCTTTTATTTCTTGGTTGGTTTATACATTTTATCACTCTTCTGTAACTGTAAGGCTCAATAGCATTTCATAACAGATTGATTGTTGTCTGTGATGAATTCTTAAAGGAAAACCTCCTCCCACAAGTTAAACAGAAATGCAAGATCAAATATGCATACTTTATTTTGAAGGTGAGCATTTATTCAGTTAGTGTTTCATTTATACAGAAAATCTCAGGTAGGCCTGTAAACATCATCGATATTGATAGTGCCTTTTTATCTAGAGGAAACTAGTAGCTAATTGAAAAATGCTTGCAAAGAGCTTTTAGAGGGTGTTGTAGAAGAGCAAAGTCATGGTCTTTTGTCTGATAACAGAACAAAAACAAAAATTAATCAGATAACTGAGCCTAACGTCTTCCCTGAAATATAGTAGTGTATTAAACCTTTGTGATTTGAGCTACCAGTCAGCAGCTGGCCCCTTCTGTCTCATAAGATAACCCCTTCCATCTCATTTTTTATCTGATAGGATTCCTTTTTTTCCCTCATATAGGAGGACCCCAAATGGGAATTCCCCCGGAAGAACCTGGTTCTAGGCAAGACACTAGGAGAAGGAGAATTTGGAAAGGTCGTCAAGGCAACAGCGTTCAGACTCAAGGGGAAAGCAGGCTACACCACAGTGGCAGTGAAAATGCTAAAAGGTACATTTCCCCGAAATGATTTGAAAGCTATCTGGGAACCTTTGAATCTATTTCACAAGAGTCTAGTGTGCACGCAGGAGGCCATGTGGGGGCAGACCCTGCCAGCATCCTGGCAGCATTTCCTCTAGCATTCTATTTGTGTACTGACATATTCCCGTTGAAAGGGAGAGTGCCACATTGATGCAAACAAAGTAATTTCCAAAGGCCCTAGCTTGTGCTGTGCAAGGGCAATGTGATATACTGTGGCAAATGTATCTCATTTAAGTTGTCAATGATTGAGGTATCACAGGGGCTTTTTAAAACTCTGCACAGATTTTTGTATTAATCTATCTCAATTTTTCTTCAAATATCTTTAAGTAGACCATTTGTGCTAGATACATAGAGTCTAGAGACAGAACACACCTATTAAGCTATCCATCTACTTCCCTGCCCGTGTCAGACTGATCTGATGTATTTACTCGACAGAGGTGTGGTCTAGTGGTTTTGGGCAAGGGGCAGGAAATCCAGGAAGCCTTCAGCTCTAATTGTAGGCTGGCCATGACCAATTCACTTCATCTCTCTACTTAAATTTTCCAATCTGTGTAATAGTGGGTAATAATACTTACCCAGCTAATATGGCTATAGGAAAAAGCAAATAGGCAGTTTGTAAAGCACTTTGTATGCACAGGGTGAGATTTTGGAAAGCTTTCAGCCTTGGTCTAATTATGCTACTATTAAAGTCCATGGAAAAACTCTCATTTGAAGTCAGTGGAAGCAAAGCTAGGCTAGCACTTTTGAAAACCTCACCTGAAAAGCCCTACATAAGTGTTAAGAATTATTAATTTAAGACTATTGTTTTGTCCAGTTGAGTTTTAAATGTACAGAAACTGAGGATACAGAGTTGGAAGAAGACCTACACTAGACAAACTCTGGTTGATAAGAAGGGGGCGTCTGTATCCACCTATCTCTGCCTATTGTATTTTCTTTCATTAAGGAAATTGACCCATATGTCCTTCTTTTCAAACCCAGCTATACCTACCTTTCTCCTACATCTTTAAAAGGAGAGCAAAGTAATGAAATAATGAGTTGTCACTTTCTGTAGACCAGACCAAGTACCACCATATTCCCCAAGTGAAGATAGTGGTAGGCTTTGGTTTATGCCACCTTTCGCACCTAATGGCTACATCATCTGGACCATATCAGTGAGATGGGAGGCCTTGGTCACAGGTCAAAGAAGGCAAATGGAGGCCTTTAGATCACATAAGGCCCCACAGAACCTAGGACTGACCCTATTGTTTTGACAGAAGGTTAATTTCAACTGCATTGTCCTGAAGGATGATGTAGAAATGAAAAGAACAGAGAGAAATAACCCTGCTTTGTGATAGAATCTGATACTACTTTATAATGGTGTGTTGTCCCTATATACCAAGGAGATAAGCACCCTAGGAATATGAAAGACACAAAAAAAGTATTCAGAAATGTTTCTGGGTGGAGGTTTCTTTCTTTTGGAGGGGAGCAAGCACTGGCTGGATGACCTTAGTCGTTAATTGCTGCTGTGAATAAGAAAACACAATTATAATAGAATAATGGGCTTCTTATTAGCATTTTCATTATGTGCAAGCTTAAAAAAAAGTCCATCATCCTCTTACTGAGTGCAAGGAAATTGCATATTATAACAATTTACCAATGAAATAAATGAGTTATGAAATGCATGTCTACATTTATAAAAAGGCTTCCTTATAATGAGGGTTCAATGGAAATGAAATCAAAGACAGAGCATGCAGACGGAGCCCTGGAACTTAGTCTTGCAGAGACACAGATGAGTATAGCTCTACATGTAACACTAAAATAACCTTTTACATGGTATTATAAATGGAATATCCATAATTTTTACAGCGTGCCAACTTTATTTATACATTTACAAGTACTTGTGACTTTTTAGCAGGTTTTACATCAATAATATGAGCTAAAAATTCTGAAATATGCTGTTAAAAAGTGACATTCTTAGTTCCAGTTGACTTACCATTTGACTTTCCCTAGCTATTATCTGGAGCAGAATTGATAGCAGCAGGAGTAAGCCTTTATTTTAAGCACCCTCCTCTAATAAATTCATATGGCATTTATAGTAATAGCACAAACTCTAATGAATTCCCTTTGCAATGCATATTTTTCTCTCAGATAGCTCCCCCAAACGTTCCATGAGACCTGGATGCTGGAAAACATTTGCCCATTACTTGGGTAAACATTTGTGTGTTGCTGTTGTTTTTACTTTGTTAACAAATAGAAATGAAAATAAAACCATAACAAAAAATCACTACCCCAGAATTTTCTCTAAAAAGTTTTCTGCAGGCAGACAGCCAAGGGATAGTATAACTGAATCAGTACCCATCCTCTGCTCTTTAAAGTCATTAAAAAGATTCCTGTTGGCTTCTGTGGATATTGGATCTGGAACAATATAAATGAGAACATATCCAGGGTCAAATTCATCCTAGTGCAAAGAACAAAGCTGTTTGTGCCTTTTAATCTCCGGGTTGGGACACTGGCAGAGCAGATGTGTAGAGAAGCCTCCAGCTCACAGCAGCACCTCGAAGAACCAGTCATGGTCTAGGACTCCATTGTGCCTGGCTCTGTACAAACACAAAACAATAACATAGACCTTGCCCCCAAAAGCATACAATTTAAGATGGATACAGTCAGGCAGATGGGGGAGTACAAAGAAACAATGATACCATATTAAAATGTTATTATCAGGGCAAACTATTAGCAAACACATATTTTAATTGGGTGTTAAAATAAATAGTATAGACTGTCTTTTGGGTTTAGTATGCCATGTAAAAATGTATTATGTGTTAGGGTTCAATGTAGATTATTAATGAGAGGACCGATAACCAAGACTCAATCAGTTTATTAATCAAAGATTATTAGTGAAAGATTAATCATCCTGCCACAGAATGGCAAATACATTATCGATCCAGGCAAGCAGTCCTGCAGCCCAATCCATTCGAAATATCATTCAGAAATTCATGCCTTTATATATGATACGTGTTCACAAAAAAGGGACAAACAAATTCTGTTCTCTTGACCTATTGACCATTGGAGTTCCCTTCATGGCATCCCAACTTATATAATTGATAAGCAAAAGACATCTGTGCAACAAGTTGTTATCTTCCCAATCACAGAAGACATCTTTAATAACAAATACTCCCTTTTTTGATTTCCTGGACATTTTCTAAGGGTCATTGGATCAGAGCAAGAGGTCTTACACAATCCATCACTTGACAACACACCGAGATCTAGCCTGAGTACAAAACATGTTGGTTCATCTACAAAGGATCATGGCAGTTCGGTTCATCTGCTAACAAATGGAATACCAAATGTTCGGCAGTATGATATATTCACAGAGACCAAAGTTTGAACTTGGTTTCTATGAGCCTCTGGTAACAGTGATTGTTTATTTATCAGCCTCCTAATAAAAATATTGGCTGTAAAAGCAACTGTCAAAGCCCTTTGTGTCAAGGAGATTCAGGATGGACAGCACACAGAATTTTCTTGCTGAAATCTAGTGTTAGGGCCATAGAATTCCGGGGAGCCCAAATGTGTTCAAAGAGGAAGACAGGAGGCCCTGCAAAAACAAAAGACTGGGGGAGCCTCTAAAAGCCATATACTATCCTGGATGCGCACAGTTTTCCCACAAACATCAGCAAAGAAGTCTGGATAGGTATCTTCTATTGATGTCAATACAAACTCTCTACCCAGCTCCAAGTTTAGAATTCTGGATATGTACTGCAAGATTAACAAGAATAGAAGGGCATTTTATCTTTAATTAAATATTTGGGGGAAAGAGGGTTGAGGCGAGCCATGGATGTTTCTGTAAGCTTGGTTTGAACAAGGGAAGCTCTGGTCAAGAGAAGTGCTTGGCTTATGTAGCCTCCCAAAGCTCAGACCACCCTCATTGGGTTCATCACATAAATTAGCTTTAGGCCTACTGGAGATCTCCTGCTATATCAGGTGCTAGGTCCTCTAAATCTTGTCTACTGTATGTAGCGTGGAAAAGGGATGCAGTAATTTCAATGTAGTTATATGGCACAAAAGGCTCTGGGTTTGATTCTTCAGTGCCTTGCAGCTTATCTAGTCAATTACACCAGTGCAGAGTGGGTATAAAAATGCTACCTAGTTAGATGGCAGTGCTGTACTCTCACCTGGCTTTAGAGTTGGACAGTAACTGATTTTGTGGTTCAACGGCAGTTCCCAAAATTTGCAAACAAAATTCAGTGAATTGAAAAAAAATTATTTTGCATTGAACAAAACATTTTGTCTGACCTGAAACATGCTGTTTCGGATATTTTGAAAAGGCTAGATTTACAAAACAGGGGGAGGGGGTCATGTCACCCATCTCCTTTGTAGCTTTTAGCCCAGTAGTAGAGCACTCACAAGACACTGGTTCAATAGCCCTCTCTGCCTAATGTGGAGAACGTGGTCCTCCCACATTGCAGGAAAGCACATTAGCCATTGGGCTATGGGATATTCTGGTGTGAGGATCTTTCAATATCTCCTATTGAAGCTATTCCACTTTGGATGAAATACTTGAATAGTCACTGGGAAAGAGAAGAGTGTGTGTGAGAATGACTCTATAGCCTGCTGGTTAGGGCTGAGAGGTGGGAGACCCAAGTTCAAATACCCCTCTGCCTGATATGGAAAATGGGAATGCTAACCACTGGACTAAAATTTATAAAGAGGGCCCATGATGACCTCCAGTTCCTCCTGCTGTTTTGTGAATGACATCTAAGTCCTGAAAATATATTTTTTTGGCCAAAACTATTAGGCAAATTTGTCAAATTCCTGAATAGTTTGGGGTCATCCAAAACTGCATTTTTCAGTGAGTTAAACCACAAGCTGAAAAATTTCACCCATCTCTACTTGGCAAAGATGTGAATGACTGAACATCAGTGAAGACTAAGGCCCTGTCTCTTCTCTGAAAACTGTTACAAAGCTGATAGCACTTGAAGCTTTTCATCTCCATGCTCATTTCAAGAGCATTCTGAAATTCTTGTTCTTAGATTGTACCTGTTTTATACTACAGTGATTCGTCCCCTGCAAGTACCTAAAATAAGTCAAAGTCTGCCCCAAGCCACAGATGGCTCATCAGGCTAACACACGTCAGTTTCCATAGCCAACAGTACACAAGGGAGTGATGTGACTAGCATCATGCTGACTTCCTTTCACAGCCCTAACACTATGGATCAGGTGCCCATTTTGCTGCTGGGTCAATTATCCTTCAGTATGAGATGGAGCGAGAAGTGAATCCATGACCTCTGGAATTGCAGTTGAGCACCTTGATCACTTGGCCAGTGCATCTCAATACCTCAAATAGGTAGCAGTATGCTAATTTACAGCTTAGTCTATAGGTGGTGCATTCCTTTTGCAGTGTTTTATTAACCAGATGTCTGGTTTTGATGCCTTCTATAGAAAACGCTTCCCAGAGTGAGCTGCGAGATCTGCTCTCAGAGTTCAACCTCTTGAAACAGGTCAACCACCCTCATGTCATCAAACTGTATGGAGCATGCAGTCAGGATGGTAAGTGTCAGCAGCTAGTTAGTAAGAGAAAAACAAAGAATGGATCTAGCCTGGGGTTGGAGCACTATTTAAAATGCAAAACACTTTTATAAATTTGCCTTTGGTTAAAAATGGTGATGTTAAGAATGAGTGAGAGAAGTAGAAATACTAATTTCAGATAAACTAGCCATAGATTTTATGGATACCACCTATATAGTCAGAGACAAACATGTTTTGATTCTAAAGCTATTTTAAAATATTTCCTGGCCAGTTTCTTTTTCTGCCTCTATTTTTTGACACTAACTTGGTTCTCAGTGAACCTCTTCTAATTTGGCGACTGGATTTTCCATATGATTATTATTTTGTATTCTAGTAGCACCTAAAGGCCCAAGTCAGGGATTGGGGCACCATTTTGCCAGGTGCTGTGTGAACAAGTAGTTAAGGGACAAGCCACTACCTAACCCCTGGTTTAGGTTGCTAGTTAGTTTCGCTTTCAGTTTTTCTGCCCCAGAGTTTTTCTTCACTAGCATGATTCTGTTGTGTGGTGCTTACGTGAATGCTTACATTTGTCAAAAACTGGTTTCACTGAAGTGTACACTGTACTTAGCTGCAAATACATGGGGGAAATAATTTTCAAAAGATGTATTATAAACAGCCAATGGGGCAAACTTTCAGTGCAGTTCATGGGGATTTATCTAAACAATTCCCATTAATGTTAAATGGAGTTGCATGGCAACATCTTCTGCCATAAAATATCTGCTGTAAGTTGAACTTTCAGTTGTTATGGAGTGTGAGTGATTTACATGGCCACAAATTCTTAAGGCTCAGTCCTGCATCCCCAGAACTCCTGATGATGTAATTGTTTGTTCTGGGGGCACGTAGAATTCAGGATTATGCATCTGGGAGACGCAGTGAGATTTAAAAAAAAAATCAGGATTTTTTTTTATGAACCTTGCGGAGGGGATAAAATCATTGTGCTGTGAACTGTTTCTGAGTCGAACGCTTCTCATAAATATGAAGGTAATTCATTAATGCATAGGTGTGGGAAGGCTTTGATACAGCTGACAAATGTACTCAGCATTGTAGCACAGAGTGGATATTATTCATGTGGGTGGTGGGGAGGAGAAGCTTGCTAATGGATTGAAGTGTGTTAGGATTTTTGTTGAGAACCTATACTTGAGTGCTTTGAAAATGAAGTGCTGGAGGGAGAAGATGCTTTGTGAGCTAAATATTATACACTCCAGAAAGTAATTGTGATTTTTTTAAAAATCAAGTTTCTTAAGCAATTCCTTATACAGGCTTGATTTTCAGCTAGGTTTAAAAGAAAATTAAAAGGTGAAAGCTAAGGAGCTCTATTCATTAGGCCAGTATTTCTTCATCAGTGTGAATCTGGAGTCATTCTAGTGACTTCAGTGGATTTATTCTGAATTGAAACTCAGATGAATGAGAAGAACAGATTTTGATCCAACACCTTTGTGCAGCTGCTTATTGCATGAATGGATTGTATTCTATTTGCTTTCTTGAATCCTCCTGACCTAATTAAGGTTTTATCTTCTTGCAGTCAATGAGACTATTCATCTGCGTCAGGCAAGCAAGATCTGGCCTGGTATTTGGTATAACATTGTGTGTGCATGACTCCATCAATAGAACCAAAAGAGTATTAAATAAGCGTGTCACTAGCCATACACATGAATTTACAGCTAACGATAAAAAATACCATATGTACTGCAAAACCTACACAAAATGAGGCAAATCAAAATGAGGCAAATCATGGAGAATTTGAGTTTTGCCATTGACTTCAGTGGGACCAGGATTTCACCCCACAAATTTAAGATGGCATGTGTCATGCACTGGATTAAATTTTTTTTCCAATCTATTGTTTAATAATTGTTGCCGGCACACCAAAATTTAGTGTGTGGCTAGACAGAATAAAAACTAGCTCAGTCTAATTCTATATATAGATATCACAAATATTTTTTGTTCAATGAAACCTTTTTCCTTGTAAACATGCTCCCCATATCCAAGCAAAGACACTGTTTAAGGCTTTGTGCCATGATGCCTACAAAACAACCTGACAACAGAGAGGCATCTGGTGCGCTGAGACCACTGCCTGCCATGCTGACCAGTACTTTCTCATTGTTTCCCTAAAAACAGGCACTGCTTGGGTATGTAGAGAGCCCTACAGGGTACACACTCTACGGTTCTGACATGAAAACACAAGGCTAGCATAGAAACTGTTTCGCAACTTTAGCTTTGGTAGGTGCCCTTTATAGCTCTGAGCAATTATGTACATGAGTACCTGGGATTGTAGCATGAGCGAATTCCCATAGGACATCCACTTAAGTGCATGTTTGCAAGATTCTGAATCTTTCCCATGCCATCAGACATTGCTAGGGCATGAAGAAGGCTCTGCCACCCTTGTCTATAATACTGTTTGCTGGAATCGCTACTTATTGTTTTTCTATAATTTAACTTTTTTACAAGGATAGGTTGTTGGCCTCTCTCTCAAATGCCAACCTAAGGGACCAGTGGACTGCTTTTCATGTGTTCCCTGACTGGCTTTGATGGCCCTATTGGGAGCTAAAATCCCCACCAGCATAGCTCTTAGGGTTATTTGAAAGCACACATCATTCTACCGCATCAAGTTGCAGTGCCCAGGGAAGGATGTTTACAGGATTGGGGCCTGTAATTGTTACAAACCAGTCCGTGATGTTAACTAGAAAAATCTTTTGCAAAGTAGAGCAGAACAACCTGACTGATTTGTATTTTTCTTTCTTTTCCTCAGGACCTTTGTATTTAATTGTGGAATATGCGAAGTATGGTTCCTTGCGCAGTTTTCTCAGGGAAAGTCGGAAAGTAGGACCTAGCTATGTGGGCAGTGATGCCAACAGAAATTCAAGCTACTTGGACAACCCAGATGAGAGAGCCTTAACAATGGGAGATCTGATCTCATTTGCATGGCAGATATCTCGGGGGATGCAGTACCTGGCAGAAATGAAGGTACAGTGCTACACCAGTGTACTGACCATATCTCTCTGATAGACATAAATATATCTGGATATATATATATATAAATATATCATGCATCTTACCCCATAAGAATAATAACCATGATTGTTGGTTTATTTTAAAAGCTTGTTCATCGTGATTTAGCAGCTAGAAATGTATTGGTGGCAGAAGGACGCAAAATGAAGATTTCTGATTTTGGCTTGTCCCGAGATGTTTATGAAGAAGATTCCTATGTCAAGAGAAGCAAGGTACAGTGCATGTTAAAACCAGGGCTGGAATCCTTGCTTAATCAAGGGAATGGGTTTACACTGAAGCACTTGAAAACAGGAAAATAAATACAACAGCTAATTCTGATAAGGAAATAGGGAACAAAAAGTAAAGTTTAAACAAAAACAATTAATTTCATCATTGGGGCCACTATTTACCGGTATATCATCAGCAGAAAACATTAATTCCAGTCCGCTCTTTCTTCTGCCTATGTGCAATAATCTTTGTATTTTACTCTAATGACCCATCAACACAACATCTACAACCCAGTCACAGGATATGGTGACAATATAGATTCAGTAGGACCACCTGTGTCCTTGTAAGTAAGTTAAAACCCTGGACTATTTTTGGAAAGCATGTATCCATGCATCTTATAACCACGATTTCTCCTGTGTTTGTGTTATAGCTATCGTATGGGCAGGGGCCTTAAAAATAATGGGTGATCTATCAATAATAAAGACAAATATATTCAAATATAATCCTATTTCCTTTCAAGTATTTTTCAGGTCGTAATTTTTTTTATAGCTGTTAGTATGTAAGTTACTTAGGGTACAAAATCTAGGGCCTCATCTTGCTACTTTATATAAAAAAGCCATTAATATCGCTCTCCCTCTCTTTTCATAACTGCCAAGCTCACAAAACAAGGGATTGAAGAAAAAGTCGGCAGAAAGAGCTGGAAATCATTTAAATCAGAACTAGTTCTGTCTGAAAACTTCATACTTGGAATCTAAATCCAGATCCTAGTTTCATGAATGCTTCTACTATAGCTATGATAATCTGAACCAAAACCCAGCTCCAAACAGCTCTGAAATATACAAGGTTCAAAATCCAGATACAAATGCCAGAGCTTGGGCCCATCTCTGCTATAGATAGTAGAGATACCCATCTGCCAGTTTGGAATGCCTTTCTTTAAAGCAATTATATTTTTCCTGTTACAGTATATTATTATCAGCTGTCTAGAAATAGTTCTGTCTGCTCACAGTGCTCATTGCAGAACCCAGCATATGGTTACATTTAATCTGTAGGATTGTGCAAAGGAAATGTGATGGAAAGCCTCTCCTGTGGTGTTAGGAGAACTCCTCTCATTGTTTAGCCATATCATGGCTTTCCCTAAAAAGAACTATTATGATAACTCAAGATTGTGAAACAAGTTCAGACTTGTCATTATTTATTATCATAGCAGATATCGTCATAACGCACTGAGCTGAATTCTGCCAATAGCCTGTATGCATGCAACTCTTACTGAAATCAGTGGGCCTTTTGCATGTCAATGAGGCCAGTATCATAGAATCATAGAATATCAGGGTTGGAAGGGACCTCAGTAGGTCATCTAATCCAACCCCCTGCTCAAAAGCAGGACCCATCCCCAATTAAATCATCCCAGCCAGGGCTTTGTCAAGCCTGACCTTAAAAACTTCTAAGGAAGGAGATTCCACCATCTCCCTAGGCAACGCATTCCAGTGTTTCACCACCCTCCTAGTGAAAAAGTTTTTCCTAATATCCAACCTAAACCTCCCCCACTGCAACTTGAGACCATTACTCCTTGTCCTGTCCTCTTCCACCACTGAGAATAGTCTAGAACCATCCTCTCTGGAACCACCTCTCAGGTAGTTGAAAGCAGCTATCAAATCCCCCCTCATTCTTCTCTTCCACAGACTAAACAATCCCAGTTCCCTCAGCCTCTCCTCATAAGTCATGTGTTCCAGACCCCTAATCATTTTTGTTGCCCTTCGCTGGACTCTTTCCAATTTATCCACGTCCTTCTTGTAGTGTGGGGCCCAAAACTGGACACAGTACTCCAGATGAGGCCTCACCAATGTCGAATAGAGGGGGACGATCACGTCCCTCGATCTGCTCGCTATGCCCCTAGTTATACATCCCAAAATGCCATTGGCCTTCTTGGCAACCAGGGCACACTGCTGACTCATATCCAGCTTCTCGTCCACTGTCACCCCTAGGTCCTTTTCCGCAGAACTGCTACCTAGCCATTCGGTCCCTAGTCTGTAGCTGTGCATTGGGTTCTTCCATCCTAAGTGCAGGACCCTGCACTTATCCTTATTGAACCTCATCAGATTTCTTTTGGCCCAATCCTCCAATTTGTCTAGGTCCCTCTGTATCCTATCCCTGCCCTCCAGCATATCTACCACTCCTCCCAGTTTAGTATCATCTGCAAATTTGCTGAGAGTGCAATCCACACCATCCTCCAGATCATTTATGAAGATATTGAACAAAACCGGCCCCAAGACCGACCCCTGGGGCACTCCACTTGACACCGGCTGCCAACTAGACATGGAGCCATTGATCACTACCCGTTGAGCCCGACAATCTAGCCAACTTTCTACCCACCTTATAGTGCATTCATCCAGCCCATACTTCTTTAACTTGCTGACAAGAATACTGTGGGAGACCGTGTCAAAAGCTTTGCTAAAGTCAAGATACAATACATCCACTGCTTTCCCTTCATCCACAGAACCAGTAATCTCATCACAGAAGGCGATTAGATTAGTCAGGCATGACCTTCCCTTGGTGAATCCATGCTGACTGTTCCTGATCACTTTCCTCTCATGTAAGTGCTTCAGGATTGATTCTTTGAGGACCTGCTCCATGATTTTTCCGGGGACTGAGGTGAGGCTGACTGGCCTGTAGTTCCCAGGATCCTCCTCCTTCCCTTTTTTAAAGATTGGCACTACATTAGCCTTTTTCCAGTCTTCCGGGACTTCCCCCGTTCGCCACGAGTTTTCAAAGATAATGGCCAATGGCTCTGCAATCACAGCCGCCAGTTCCTTTAGCACTCTCGGATGCAACTCGTCCGGCCCCATGGACTTGTGCACGTCCAGCTTTTCTAAATAGTCCCTAACCACCTCTTTCTCCACAGAGGGCTGGCCATCTATTCCCCATGTTGTGATGCCCAGCGCAGCAGTCTGGGAGCTGACCTTGTTCGTGAAGACAGAGGCAAAAAAAGCATTGAGTACATTAGCTTTTTCCACATCCTCTGTCACTAGGTTGCCTCCCTCATTCATTAAGGGGCCCACACTTTCCTTGGCTTTCTTCTTGTTGCCAACATACCTGAAGAAACCCTTCTTGTTACTCTTAACATCTCTCGCTAGCTGCAGCTCCAGGTGCGATTTGGCCCTCCTAATTTCATTCCTACATGCCCGAGCAATATTTTTATACTCTTCCCTGGTCATATGTCCAACCTTCCACTTCTTGTAAGCTTCTTTTTTATGCTTAAGATCCGCTAGGATTTCACCGTTAAGCCAAGCTGGTCGCCTGCCATATTTACTATTCTTTCGACACATCGGGATGGTTTGTCCCTGTAACCTCAACAGGGATTCCTTGAAATACAGCCAGCTCTCCTGGACTCCTTTCCCCTTCATGTTAGTCCCCCAGGGGATCCTACCCATCCGTTCCCTGAAGGAGTCGAAGTCTGCTTTCCTGAAGTCCAGGGTCCGTATCTTGCTGCTTACCTTTCTTCCCTGTGTCAGGATCCTGAACTCAACCAACTCATGGTCACTGCCTCCCAGATTCCCATCCACTTTTGCTTCCCCTACTAATTCTTCCTGGTTTGTGAGCAGCAGGTCAAGAAAAGCTCCCCTCCAGTTGGCTCCTCTAGCACTTGCACCAGGAAATTGTCCCCTACGCTTTCCAAAAACTTCCTGGATTGTCTATGCACCGCTGTATTGCTCTCCCAGCAGATATCAGGAAAATTAAAGTCACCCATGAGAACCAGGGCATGCGATCTAGTAGCTTCCGCGAGCTGCCGGAAGAAAGCCTCATCCACCTCATCCCCCTGGTCCGGTGGTCTATAGCAGACTCCCACCACTACATCACTCCTGTTGCTTACACTTCTAAACTTAATCCAGAGACACTCAGGTTTTTCTGCAGTTTTGTACCGGAGCTCTGAGCAGTCATACTGCTCCCTTACATACAGTGCTACTCCCCCACCTTTTCTGCCCTGCCTGTCCTTCCTGAACAGTTTGTAACCATCCATGACAGTACTCCAGTCATGTGAGTTATCCCACCAAGTCTCTGTTATTCCAATCACGTCATAATTCCTTGACATCATCAGGACCTCCAGTTCTCCCTGCTTGTTTCCAAGGCTTTGTGCATTCGTATATAAGCACTCGAGATAACCTGCTGATCGCCCCTCATTCTCAGTATGAGGCAGGAGCCCTCCCCTCACAGACATTCCTGCCTGTGCTTCCTCCCGGTATCCCGCTTTCCCACTTACCTCAGGGCTTTGGTCTCCTTCCCCCGGTGAACCTAGTTTAAAGCCCTCCTCACTAGGTTAGCCAGCCTGCTCGCAAAGATGCTCTTCCCTCTCTTCGTAAGGTGGAGCCCGTCTCTGCCCAGCACTCCTCCTTCATGGAAGACCATCCCATGGTCAAAGTATCCTAGCTCAGTTTGTGAACTTCAGTCATACTATTTTATGTTGACCATTCAGTCTTCTGTGCTACTGCTTCAGTTCCCTGTGGGGGTTAGTGTGAAAGTGCTGTCAGAACGAATTCACGCACATGGAGAATTTCAAATATTGGCTTCCACAAATACTGTGACTTTTTGATGTTTGTTTTCCAGTACAATTCCAGCCAATAATGCTCGATTGCATGATGTTTTCAGGAGGCAAATACAAAAGTGACCATGGACAAAGACAATTTAAAATATAACTAGATAGCATATTAGGAAAGACTGTGCAATATGCACTCAGTTCTATTATGTATGCTTTACACTGAAGGAATGCTAGCTCTTTGTACCTATTTCTCTGCAAAAAGTATTTGAGAACAATTTATTCTAATATATAGATTTTCCCCCATAAAATTAACAGATACTGATATAGCCCTCCTCACCATAGTATCTCTGAGTGCATATTCAATTTTCCAACACAAACAATTGTCAAAAATAACTTGAGTAGAGAGGGAGCAGGAGGAAAGAATGGGAGAAAGAATGGAATATATCCAGAAATTTTTTCCAAATACATGTGCATTGCCTGAAAATTTATGAAAATACAAATCACTGTGGATGTTGTGAAGCATCCTGGAAATCACGTTGGCATTTTGCACAGCCACAATCTTTGTGAATAGCTGGTATAGATCTGAGATTTTACCATGTGGATTTCAGCATGCAGAAGGCAGCGGTTTGCACAGCTTGTTAAGCAGCCATTGAACAAGTGTAACTGCCTGAGTGAAACCTGAGTTCAGAAGCCAAAGCTGTCCTAAACCTGAATTTTGAAGTTGCGAATCAGCATACATTTTTCATTTGGGATGGATCTTACTCCTATAGCTTCATTCTCCATCTCCTTTTGCACCTGCACAACCCCCACTAGGCTCTGAAAGTGTATCTCATGGATGGCAAGCAATTCATGTTGATAAGTAAAGGTTTAGTGTGATAGGAGGGGTCTGTGGCCTGAGTTTGCCATGTAATATGTCTGAAAATCACCGTTAATTGAGTGCATGTCCTTTCAAAACTGGGTCCTCCTAAGTGGGTTAGGTTAGAATGAATTGTAAAGTTCAGTGGTGATTAAAGAGAGGTTATAGCTGTGCCCCCTAACCTATACTGTTCCCTTTTATTTGATGAAATGTCACTTCAGTCATTCCACTGAAGCGTATCAGAGAGGCACAGTGCAGTGTAAATAATCTTATTGTGAAAGCAAACGCACCAACATTAAATTTACCCTTCTAATTTAGTAATTTTGCTGCTGTTTTTTCTCTTAGGGTCGAATACCTGTTAAATGGATGGCAATCGAATCCCTATTTGATCATATCTATACAACACAAAGTGATGTGTAAGTCTAAATTGTGATGTGTTTTACAATTTATATGTCTGTTGTATACAGTTTAACAAAGAACATGGTAACATATTTAACAGCCACAGCTTTTAAGTTGGAAGATAACAAAAATCAGAGAGCCCAGATGACTCAGTCTCTTAGTAATGGTGGGATAAATATGGAACTTTAAAATTGTAGGTGACCCATTAAATTAAATTAAAACCTAAATCATGAGTGACTGTATGGTGTTCCAATCTGATTGTCCTTCGGTGGCCTGTGTGGAATGAGATTTGATGGTCTCAGCCCCGTTCTTAGTGTGCACACCACAAAACCCACTCTTGTTGGCAGATCCAGCAAAAAGACTAAGGATTTAGAGCCTGAGTCGCCTCCCATTGAAACCGGTGACAAAACTCCAAATGACTTCAATGGGAATAGGATCAGACTCTTAATGAGCAACCAAGTTGCAGCCACATGATGCACATACATGTGCCGGTTGTTAGAGAGTGATTGCATGGGCAGATTTGCTTTCCACTTCCCTTCTCACGTGACTACTTCCTTCCTCATCCAGGCCAGTAGAGCGGCAGGAGAGGAGCGAGTGCCGGGCTAGGGAGACCTCGGGGGAATAGGCTGGGCAAGGGCAGGGCCTCAGGGTAGAGCATGGGTGGGGCCTCAGGGTAGAGTGTGGGTGGTGCCCCGGTCTGAGCCTTGGTGGGCCTCCCCACTTCTAGGGAGCTTCGCTTCCAGCGCTCAAAAGGCGCATCTCCAAAGGGAGGTGACGGGCACTGCATCTGCAGCATTTGCACCCCCTGCAGGGCCAGCCTTATTTGGGGAGGCTTAGTCTCCTGCAGCCTCTTATAAACAGCCCCCATGCTCCAAACTATGACTCCAACAGTGTAACGCTGAAGAATTAAAGGGTTACGTTATTGGAAAATTGATTTTTAAAAATTGACATGTTCACAAATATAATCTACAAATATTCAATGCTGTTTGGGGTGATGCAGTTATGGTTTTAGTGACCATCTAATACTATACTTAAAATCCATTCCCTGGATTTTCCTCATAAATTCTATATCTCTTTTTTTCCAGCTGCTTCCTTTTAAGACCCTTGTATATAGTCAGTAGTTGGCAGTGATCTAGCAGTCGTATAAGTTGCCAGCTTCTGTAATTTCTTTTTTCCAACCCTGCTGCAAAAACCTTTGCTTTTTATGTTGGAACCTAGACACACATTGTACCAGTGCCAGCCCACAGTCTTCCTGTCCCCCTCTCTCTGATGGCATTTTTATTCATCCACAAAGACCGTAAAATGGAAAATATTCTCCCCCCCCATACACACTTAGTTAATTTTCATTATGTTTACAAAACTAAGGTACAATATCCTAACATACAAATCTGACAAACAGCTGCAGCTAATTGAGAAATTACTAACATGCTACACCCTCTTACAGAGCCCCCAAAAAATTCACTTAAACAATCTTAAAAATAAAAACCCACAATGCCACACACTTTTTCTGGATTATTTACAGGTCAAATTATAACCTAATGGGCTGCACGGAATGATTGGCTCAATAAAGGGCATGAGGAAGAATAAAAGACTTAATCAAGTGCAATGGAACGTTATAAATATGCATTAGCTTTGAGGAAGATATAGACTGGTTAAAAATGAACTTACAGAATATCAGCAGGAAAAAGCTGTTTGAAAGTTTCATGTAAGGCTGTGTGAGACTAGCAGTTGCTTTTTTTTTTTTTTTCCCCTGTGCACAGCCATTTTGGAGCTGAATATGTCCTGTCCTGGGAATGCCATTTCTCTTGTTTAAAATAAAAATAACTTAAAGAACTACAAGGAGACAAGCGAAGCCCAGTCAGGAGGAGAGCAATTTCTGTGACTAAAATTTTGAGGTGGGATTTTCAAGGGAACCTCAGGGAATTAGGCACCTGACTTTCATTGACTTTCAGTGGACTTTAGGGGCCTAATTCCTCTAGTCTCTTTTTAAAGGTGGAGCTCTTGCATAAAAATCAGACGGCAAAAGTGAATGTTTATTACACTTTGTATATAACTCTCTTCTCAGAGGTATCCCATCAAACCTGAGTGGAAAAATGCACTGTTGCCTGCTTTCCTTCACCCCACATTGTGAACACTGAAATCTTGGAGGGTTTGAAATGGGGTTCTGGATTAGATTTTGGTTGCTCAAGCCTCTCTCTCTGAAAGAGGGCTTCCACTCAAGAAAGGAACCTTTTTTTTTTTTTTGGCCTTTGAGTCAAGGCCTTTGTACTAGAGCTGGTCCGAAAGTGGATAGAAAAATTGACTCAATTTTTTTCCCTTTTTAAAAAAAAAAATCAAAATGTCACCATTTTTTTTTTTTTTGTGCATTTCAAATTTCCAAATAGAATTGACCAGTGCTGCTTTCTGTATTCGGCCAAGAACAAAATTAAGGCCCTGATTCATTAAACGAGCACAAATAAGCCTATTAAAATAAAGGGGGTCATTTAAGTGAAATTAGACACCTGCATGCAAAGAAGGATGGATTTGTGGTTGATGCCTTGGTCTGTCTTTTCTATTTAGAATGTAATAGATGGGGGCAGGGATTGTGTCTTACTATTTGTTCATACAACACCTAGCATAATGGAAACTTGATCTTGGAACCTTTAAGTGCTACTGTACTATTTGCTGGATAGGGGCCATGTTAAGCTCTTAAATCCCAGCAATTCAAGTGAATGTTTCCTTCCTTCCTTCCTTCCTTCCTTCCTTCCTTTTTCAGCTGGTCATTTGGAGTTCTGTTGTGGGAGATTGTAACCCTGGGAGGTAACCCTTATCCTGGAATTGCTCCTGAAAGACTCTTTAACCTCCTGAAAACCGGCTATAGAATGGAGAGACCTGAAAACTGCAGTGAAGAAATGTAAGTATTTCTTGCTTTGTTTGGATTAATAGAAATATCCTTGAACAAAGGGAGGAAACAGTGTAAATAACAGCCATCTCCAGCATGACTTTTAGAGAAGTCTGAGAACAATCTAATAAAAGTAAAGAACTCTGACCATAAAGTGGCAGAAAGGTGGGGTGACAATCTGTGTTAAATGTGCACAAAAAGAAATGCAGTCCCCAAGTGCCTGCAGCTATTGCCAAAATACCTACTGAAAATTGGATAAAGTACTCATCAGGCTAATGAAAAAGTGTCAGTTAAATATTCGGAACATGTGGCTGGGGAGGGGAAATGCATCTAACATAGTGATGAGTGACCTCTTCAAGATGTGTTGAAGCACATCCAAATACTGGGAACCCACTTTCCTGAAAATAAGGTGATTATTTTAATATCTGTGCCCCATCTATTCCCTGAAAATGGTTTGTAAGCTGTCTAACTTTTCTGGTAGTGCATAGAACCCTGAAGAGAAGATACCTTCACTCAGAAATCAATACCTCTATAACACAAACATTTTGTGAGTGAGTGAGTCATTTCAGTTTATCTGTGACTGTAAGACAGTTCATATGTTATTAACTGACTTATTTACAAAAGGCAATTAACCAGGAAAATCTCAATGAGAGAGAAATATCTCATCACCCTGGATATTCCCTGGTGTCCAAAAATGAAACACATAGAGCTTGAAATATGTTAATCAGCCCTTATTAAGGCATATTCACATATTCAAATGAGACAGCATTGTTTCATTTGAATTTTGGAGAACAAGAACGAGATCCCTTCACGTGTTTCTGAATGACCTTGCCCACGTGGTAAATAGTACAGCCATTTCTTTCCGTGCATCACATATATAGAGATACCACGGAGACACTGTTGAACTTAGAACTGTTCAGAAATTCATAGATCTCAAGTCCAGACTTGCCCCAGCAAAATTAAATATTTTAAATTTTCACCTGTCTTCCCTTCCTCAAGCATTCACTTCAAAGGTCCCCTTTCCCACCCCCAATTATGTTCCATTGTTTATACTTTTTTGAGTTATTCCCGTTGCGTAAGTTTGCGGGGGAGGAAGGGTTGATGGCTTTATTGTTGTTGTCGCTCTTAGATGGACAACCTGGGTAGATGTTTATCTTAGGACATTAAAGACTGCATTAAGATGAACCACTTAAGACCCTTTTTTCTATGCCTGCTCCAAATGATCCAGTCTAGCAATGAGGGGGTGATGCATAACCATACCCTTTTTTTTATATAGGTATGCAGACTTTTCTGACGCAGTTCACTCCATCTCTCATATAATAAATCCCAAAAAAGTGAGATTAGAAGAATCTTATTTAGGTTGTAAAGTCAAGTGCTAAAAAGTTAGGAAATGCCAGATTTATGGTTTCCTGGGCAGCCTTAATTCAGCCAGCCTATGCACATGTGTTTTTGAGACAGTCCTTAATGACATGATCACATAGTATCATAATGCATATGCCCAAGGGGGAGGGTGTGAATTAAGGTTGTACAGCCAATCATATATCTGGCATTTTTTAACTTTCAAGTGCTTGAATTTGCAACCTAAACAGCATTCTTATAATTTAGGGTTCTTTAATATAATTTCAAAAGGTTTTTTTGTTGTTTTGTGTTTGTTTTTAAGGAAAAAAGTAAAACCACTTTCTTCTGTGAACAGCTGAGCACGATCAGGGTTTGAATCCTGAACCATCAGCACTGCAGCAGAAGTCATTTAAGCTATAGATCTAACTACGTTGTCTGGGTAGGCTGCTGAGTCCAGAAAGAATGGTCATGGGGGAACTCAGCCTGGCCCAGTTCATTCTTTCTTTCTCTTCCCTTCTGGGAGCTGGGGGAGCTTCTGCCCTATTTGGTGTCCGAGTGGCCCATTCTTCCCTCTGCGGTCCAGGTGCTGGATCAAGAGGAGGGAAGCCCAGTCTAGGTTTTTCTCCTCCCCGCAACTACGGCTGCTCCCAGCTATTCCCAGAACAATATGGTGCTGCTGCTGATTTGGTGGAGCTTGGCCTTAGAATATTCATGTGTTCAGTTATTATTTTAGCAGGCTGCCAACATTTTCCTGAGGAAGGAGAGCAGGAGAAAGGAAATTATTTTGAAAGCTTATATCTCAGCAAAAGCTGAATGGAATTTCATACAACAAAGAGAAAAGTACTTCTGTAGCCAGAGGAACTTTCCCCTGCCAAATACCAAAGGCAAACAATGGAGATGTGAAAGTTTCTCAAAGGAAAGGTTGCAAGAATCTTGTAGGTGGGACGTGTTAGGCAGCATAAACATTGGTGTCACTATCAACTCCCCCTGTACTGGTTGTTTTGTTGTTCTTCCAGGTGACCAACCGAGAAAACAGAAGTCATAGGAGAAGTGTAAGGGTGTCAGCAGGGAGGTGTGATTACCAGCGTAAGTAGGCACTCGCCATACCTCAGCTCAAACTAGTGTGTTAAAAATAGCCGTGTGGAGGTTGCGGCACTGAAGCTGGGCAGGCTTGGGGTTGAGGGGCTAGCCCACGCCACCACCAGTGCCACAAAGTTCACGCTGCCTTTTTTAGAACAAGAGCTCGAGTTGAGCGAGGGCGAGAGTCTACCCACGCTGGGAATCCCACCTTTCAGCAACAGTGTAGACTTATTCTTTGACACCAATTTTGCAAAGAGATCCACATGCCTGAGCCTTTAATTACACGCGGCATCTCCTGGGAGTAAAGGTTCACTCCTGTGACTCTCAGTGCAGTATTAGGGCCTCGTCCCATGGAGAAATTGTTTAGCTACATAAATAAGAAAAAGGAAAGATTGAGATATTTCTTTGAGTGGCATTCACAAAAGTGTCCAGATCACTGTACTGTATGTAGATTTATTTGAGCAGAAAGGAAAACCAAACCATTTGTGAATGCAGGAGCTTATTATGTGTTACTTTGGTTCATAGGTATAACTTGATGCTGCGATGCTGGAAACAGGAACCAGATAAGAGGCCAACCTTTGCTGACATCAGCAAAGAACTGGAGAAAATGATGGTGAAGAGTAGGGTAAGTCTGCTGCAAGCTGAGTTTTGCACAGTTAATGAAAACTAGTAGGGAATGTTAACAATCCAAAGAGCTTGGGTGTAGCACAGGGAAATAAGTTTCTGATAAGAAAAGTTCTGATTTTGATCAGGATTAAAGGCATCCAAAAACCTTATTTCCTCCAGATGGCAGAAAGCTTTCCAAAAGCAGTTCCATCTTTTTTTTTGTATGGTGATTTTGAAGATTTCAGACCTAGAAATGTTGTGTGCTTGATTATTTTACCACTTAGTTTCCTTAGTAACAAATGTATTGTTGCAGAGTTAATTTTAATTTGCATTACTCAATAATTAAGCAATAGGAAGTCTCAAATGACTAAAATTTTGCAATGTATTGTGCCATTTCTGACTTGGGATGTCTTAAAGATGTAATAACAGCAACAAAATATTAAAGCGGTTTGGTTCCAAATCTGTCTACTTTAAAATGCATAATCTGTTAAGGGATTTTCTTGGGAATTCAAAGGACCTCATTGTCAGTGTGGAGCCTTTACACATCCTCATCTAGGACTTCGTCTTGCACACTGCTGAGCACTGGCATCCTGATCCAGGAGAACACCTATGCATGTGCTTAATTTAAAGCCCATGAGAATCTGCGTCAGTACCTTGCAGGATTGAGTCCCTAGTACACACTGCAAATATATGTCCACCTCAGTGGACATTTTCCAGTATTCATACTTGTACGTGCACTTATTTGATACAGCTTAGGCATGGATATTCTGTCAGTGCAAATGGAAGATTTTCATGGAAAAATCCAGTGATCTGTGTGTGCTGGAAAAGGGCATGTGTAGCTGAATGAGCACACATAAGAGTACATGTGCACACAGAAGTACAGGCTGGTGACTAAAAATAAGTGTGTGTATGTACTTATATATTTATAAAATCCCTGTTTTACAAAAACATTAGAAATCTCCAGCAGTAGTTACTCTCTAGGTAATGCTCCTCTGTTACAAATCCAGCAGAGGGAGAACATATGAACTAGCCCATTCTGGGCTTGGGCATGTGTTCCTGGGCACAGATTAAGAAGTGAACAGAAGGGAGCCATTATGCTCCTATAGGAAAATTAAAAAATCAAAGTTAAATCAATGGTGGTGAAAGGCAAAGTAAGAGCAAAGTTTTATTTTTTGAGGTTCCAAAAGGCTATTACAAGAGCAATATATTGAACTAAAAGTAGATTTCCAACCCCAAAAGTTGTCTGCTTTGTATGCCGTATATAGACAGAATATCTGGGATAATCCAGTGACTGGACAGTAACACTGAACTGGGCAGTGTTGTCTGAAATGGTTATCATAGTTAAAAACAAAACCACCAGCATCCTGAACAGAACTGTGGGCCAAATGCTGCGAAATGGCGAGAACACCTTCCAGGCATTCTTAAGCACCCTGTCCTCCCATTGAATCGTAGGCTTAGAGGAAAGCTGAAGTTAAAGCATATCTATCATATATAGATTTTTGAGTGTTGTGTTGACTCGTTGGCAAGCAGCATTCAACAGGAGAAGCACTAACTGAGCATGTTTCTATTGAACCATGTCTAGTGTTTCTGCAAACAAGTGCATTGCCAAGGACACTACTCTTGCAGAAAACAGGACATTAAGCAGCTGGTATTCTCTATAGAAGGGCCCACTTTGAGTTTGCAGTTGCCTAGTTTAGGGAGCCCAGAAATTTGTTAGGAACTGTAACTGAGGAATGACTTTGTTGCTTATTGTAACCTAGCCTTTTATTTATTTATTTGGTAGGACTACTTAGATCTTGCAGCTTCCACACCTGCTGACTCCTTACTTTATGATGACGGGCTCTCAGAAGAGGAGACACCACTCGTGGACTGTAATAATGCTCCCCTCCCTCGAACCCTTCCCTCCACATGGATTGAAAACAAACTCTATGGTAGAATTTCACATGCATTTACTAGATTCTAGCAACACACACACAAAGTGAATTTTTTCTTCTGCACTATCTTCAGACTCTGTAACCCCATTAGAGTGTTTCTTGTGTGAATGAAGCCAATCAAAATTTGCTTGGAAAGCTTTTTTTATTTGTAAATGTCAAACTTTGCATCAGGATTATACTTTAGGCGTCTTGCAGCTGTGTTTAAAAAAAGATTAAAAAAGGATGTGAAAATAAGTAAAATCACCATATATATCTATATCTATATATCATATGATAAAGAGAAATAAATAGATCAGGGAAGTACTCTCAGGGGAAATTTTAAAAGGCTAAGAACCGAAATTCCAATTAAAATAGTCTTTTGTGTTGAGGGGTGGAGTTGGGAAATATGTTAGATTCTACATCTCTAATTTAAGTAATGGATTTAAAAAAAACATTTGCTAAACATTTTGCGGGGGGGGGGGGGCGGGGAGCTCAGTTGAATAGTGAGGCCCAATTTGTTACAGTTTTAAGTTTATCCAGACGGATTTCTGAATCTCAGCTGCTGCTTGGGCAGAAATTTCTGCTTAACATGACATGGGATGGGATCAGGTTACAATTTACAGAAGACGGGAGACTGAGGGCATCTTATACAGTCTTTTGGAAATTGAATTGGTGATAGCCACTGTAAAAATACTTTTAACTGTTTTCACATCCTTTGGTTTATCATGCAAATGTCAGCACTAAGCCCTGATTGAATGATGTAGCAAGTGTTTTGAAAAGGAACATGTGCTTTCATATTGTGGTGGTGAGATGGACAGTAAAAATGGTTCTTGCCAAAACTCCTATATTTTGTTTCCTGATTAAATATTCTACATGTTTTTGGCTGTTCACTAACTTCAAAGATTTTTTTTTTTCATTCTTCAAGCAGTAAAACTTTTTTAAAACCTGAAGCTTTTCCATCACTCTATGTATTTGTAATTAGTAAATATCTTTGGGTCTTTTTTTCCTCTGCTCACCAGACATGACTTTCAAAACTAGGTGCCCAAGGTTAGGTTCCTAAATACATATTTGAGATTTTAAATAAGTGGTCAGCTTTTCAAAAGGTTCCAATTCAACAGTTCCCAATGAAGTTCCCATTGCTGAATGCTTTTGAAAATCTCAGCACTTATTTAGGTGCCAAAATAGGCAACAAAATTAGGCTTCTATTTTTGAAAATGTTGGCCTTGGTATGTTTTTGCATATAGTGCTGGATCTTCAAGATGCTGAGCACTCTGGGCCCAGTCCAGCAAAATATGTAAGCATGACCTTAACTCTACATTTATGAGTAGCACACTGATGTCAGTAGGACTACTTATATGCTTAACTTTAAACCTGTATTTAAATATATAGCTGGATCAGAGCCAGAGTGCTCAGAACCTTGCAGCCCATTGTACTACTGGGAGATCATGATGGGTGATATGAGTCTCATCCTAAACCTATTGAAGCCAATGGAAAGACACCCATTAATGTCAAAGGAAATACTTTCATTTACTAGAATGGACATTGGGTCCTGCCTTAAATGGGCGTATTACTGCTTGGAGCATTGTACGTACAGCAAGAACTTCCAGTTGCAATAAATTCTCTGGCAAAGCAATTTGTAATTATGTTGTCATGAAACTATAAAATTGCAAAAAGTTGGAGGCTATCAGAAGAAAAAATAACAACTTTTATTGAATTATATGATATACACACTTTTTTTTATCAAGACAGCACTTTATTTGTTCAGGGTGTTTGCCTTCAGCAGAATTTGTGCTTTGGGGCTTTGAAACACAGTTTATATCAATTGACTGGGGACAAAAACCAGTGGTCTGGCTTAAAGTATTGAACGGAGTTTTGCCAAGGGCCTTACTGTCTGCACATGAAGTTATGGTTCTTCAGTGCAGAAAAAATTATCTGTTTTCATTTTTAGGCATGTCATACCCGAACTGGCCTGAGGAGAGCCCCGTTCCACTCACAAGATTCGATGGCACTAACTCTGTGTTTTCAAGATATGCAAATGATAGTGTATATGCTAACTGGATGGTTTCACCCTCAGCGGCAAAATTTATGGACAAGTTTGATAGTTAAAAATTTCTTTGTGAAAGGTAATGGACCCGTGAGGGGAGCAAACATGCAAAGAATGGAAAGTCCATTGGCTCGTTCTTTGTACAATTAAAACTGGTTAAACCAACGTTAATTTCTCAAATGGCAAACTCTTTTTTGGTAGTTTCTCAAGTGGTTTTACGCATGATCAAGACTATAATTGATTATTTCCCCTTTCAGGAAACATATCAAACTGGATAAAAGTTGTGGTTCCAGTACTTATTTTTTAGTCCACCATTCTGCACATAGTCCAATTTGGTAACTGTTTATTGCAAATGGCTGTGCACTTCATGCTTACAATTTTTTAGGTCAGCTGTCCTGCATTACAGCTTTCTTGGGTGGGAAAATGTTGTTGTACTTGAACTGCTACTTTTCTGGTTATTAACAAAAGGCCACTTGATCTAAGCATGAAGCACAAACAGTATATGTCGGGGGAAAAAACATTTGGCTCAAAATAACTGAGCTTACTGTAGAATCCAAAGTGTTACCATGATGTTGGCACTAATGAAGCCTATATTTTGGTTTCGAAGCCAACATTAAGTAACTCAGTAGGGAACTTGAGATTCAACATTTGAAGTCTTGAAAAGCTGTAAAAATGTCTTGCCTTGTCTTAATGAGAAAAGAGTTTGTTTTATTATGTTTAAACTATTCTTACCTTTAGCACAATGGAGATAAATTTGATACCAGATATGCTATATAGACTGATGTCAATCAAGAGTGCTCACCTGACACAACTTACTTTCCATCACATCCATTTTACTCATGTTACAATGTCTGTTGTACAATCATAATTCTGTTTGAGTTCAGTGTAGACTGTACAGGATATTTTGAACTAAATTAAAGCAAAGAGATTTTGTTTGCAGTCATGTTCAATGAGTTGGAGTCTTCCTCTAAGTTCAAAATCTGATTCTACAGTCCAATACACTGCTAACATAGGATATCACATTGACACCATTCCAAATAAATCTTCTGTCTTGCAAGTCACAAGTAGACAACTCTTTTACTTAGCATAGCTTATCTGATGTTTTTATCATTAGTTAGTTAATTATTCCCTACAAGCAAGAAAAAAATCACCAGATTTTGTTAAGGGTAAATTTAATTCTAATGATGTGCAACAGTATTGACATGGTATTTAGGAGAATGATCTGACTCTTATAGAGCTTATATGGAAGGGGATAAATAGGTTGGCAGTACTTTTCTGTCTTTTATTTGTAATTTAATATTGTTGAAGAGAATATTTTTTGTGTTCTAAAAATGTTGGACCATAAACCCAGACTAACATGTTGTTACATGTGTAATGGCTATTCTTAAATAATCCAATTCTACCAAAACTTGTTCCTGTCTCTTAAATTCCAGTTTAGCTGTCTTCATGTGTTTGTTTTGTGTGTCAGCACAATGTGTTTCCATTAAAGTCTGTGATTTCAGAAGTAAATGAGTCAGATTGCCAAAAACTTAACACAGGTCTTCATACATACAACGGAAGTACAGATGTAAAGCACTGTGTTAGTATTTAAACACTATTTTATAAAGGAATATTGTATTTTATTATAACTTGTTTTCAGACGAGCAGTAGCAGTGTGTATTTTTCTTTGTGTAAGCTAACTACTGCACTAGGTACTCTGTGCACAGCATAAAGATACAGACATGCATAGGAAGAGAAAATGTAATGAGTTTAGTTGTGATACAACAGTGGCCTCTCAAATGATTCTGGAGGTGTGGCACAGCCCTGAATACACTGTAACAATGCACGTCAAATAAGCATAAAATAAATGAAATGGAAAATTAAACCCCCATTAAATGGGCTTTTTCTTCACTGTCACTGAGAGAGGGAAACTAGGTATAAATGCCGTAACAACATAAGGGAGGTCTACAATCAGTGACAGCTGCTGTGGTAGCTTTCAGTGTTACTCATTAAGTCTGGCCATACGCTGTTTTCCCACTGTTTCAGTTCATCAGTGAGAAATCTGAATTCTTCATTTGTCATGAGCAATCCGGAAGCATCAGGGAGATTTTTTCATCAGCGGCAGCATGTGACAGAAATTCCTGAACTAGAACAAAAGTCCCCCAGGCAGAGGTACTTTACTCCAGTTTCTAATCGGACAGAACCTGTGACAACAGTGTCATTCTAAGACAGGTGAGTGAGATGACAAGTGGTATTGAAATAACCAACTGATGGAGAAAGCATTGAGTATCATCGTATTTCAAACTCTGAGCATCATCCCCTGGTTAGTTCAGTTCACCCCTATGAAAACTGGGGTTCCCAGTCACATTTATCGTTAATTTCCTTATGCACACATCTAATATAGGCGCTGTATAGAACACACAACAGCAAAAAGTAATTACATTTATGCCATAATTACATGCCGGCCCACTTTCTCAAGCAGAGCTGAATGAATGATTCACAATGAACAATTTATAATCCAACTAATTTAGCCTTCCTTATTGTTCTCAGAATACCTGTAAGAAGCAGCTTGTGACTTCCTTGCATACTTTCATTATTTAACATTTTTTATTGTGAATGGTTCATGTGGAGCATTTGATATTTGTTCTGTATTGGTTAGTTGTGGTTAAAGTCACAAGGTATTTCAATTCTCTGATTGGATGAAAACGGATGCACTTCTGGAATGAATACTCACACATGAAAATTCTAGTTTTAGTTCCCACCAATGTTCGGGACAGTAAAACTCAATTACTTCATAACTTCATAGATTTTTATTTTTAAGGCCAGAAGGGGTCTTATACAGAGGTATGATTACATGATCTAGCAGGCTACGAAATTTCCCCCAGTTCCTCCAGTACTGAGCCCAATAACTTGTATTTCCTTGCTTTCTCTCAGAAAACTTAAAAGGAGCATGAGAAGAGCCAGCATGAACTCATTTATATATTTGAGGGAATAGTGACAGAATATTCTTCCAGCTCTACCAACATGTCAACAAAAACCACACCACATAAACATTGTACACTTGGGGTTCTGTAAGATGTGGCCAGCTGTAGAAATGGGTGAATCCAAAAGCATTTTTCTCTTTATAAACACACAAGGAAATGATTTTAATGTACATTTCTTTTCTATGTGCAAATGTTTTTCTTAGCTGTGATCCTCAAAATCCCTCATGTAAATGTATGGCAGCTGATGAAGTAGACTGCAGCCTGTCACATATTTTAGACAACTTTACAAATATGCATTCTTACCATTAAATCATGAAGGGTCCAAGATGGGCATCCTGTTTTATTCATTGTATGTGGTAAAATAATATTAAATTGGAAATATAAAGTCTATACATACAGCTTATGGGTTTGTCCTTTTAAAAATAGTATTCAAGTGCATACAATAAGACCATTTTTGTACTAATTGCTTACTATATTTAAAATTTTAAATCAATCACATTTGAATAATACAAGCACTCAAATATTCCAAAATAGACCATTGTTTTATTTAAAAAAAAGTATATGATTTCAAAATGATCAAGCTAATTTGCCTTTTTCATTAAAAAAAAATCCCACATTCTAAAATCTTGTATGCAAAATTACAGCCCACACAATTCTTAAATCTATTACAGGGTTTATAATGAAAACACTATGAAACTCCTAATTGTACACCAGCAAGCAGGCCCTGATATAGTATCACCATCCTCCTGGTGCCTTAGCCAGTCACATAATACTAGGTTTGATCTGTTAAAAAAAAACAACAGTGTACCTGTCTGAAATGTTTTTTTCAAAATTCTACTGGAGTTGCATGAAATAGTTGTGAATCTAGTCTGACTGACCTTAATCCACCCTAAATTGTGTTTTCCATATTGCCAGCCAAATAAGCGTGTAGGAAAGTATGCATGTATATGTGTGCACGTGATATTCTCTATATAATCCTTTCTACATTATTTTATACCTATATAGAGATAAATACAATATATCATATAAAATGAGTACATATATACAATGGGCCTGGGTATAAATATACTTAAATACAGATATTATAAGCACATACACACAACTGGTGTCTTATACATAGCTTCTGTACTCTCCAAATGTTTAGTCCTGATTTCTGTTCAGGCCAAACTCCTACTGAATTCAGTCAAGAGGTTGTGTCTGTGTAAGCATTGCATGATAAATCCAGCCAACAGTCCATTACAGTAGTCACCATAAAAAGCCGTGACAATTACAATAGTATTTGTGATATTCCATCATGCAAAGATAGGGATATTGCAAAATAAAAAAAAACCACTGTAAAGTTACTTTTATCTGCAAATACTGGTTGTACTCTTTTAATGATCATTTTGCGAGGCTAAAATGTATCAGTAAGGTTAGAAATGCTGCAAAGATTAGGTGTTAATGAAAATACAATAGATTTTATGTGTAAGGATGTTTTCTATGTATGAAAATGTTTAAAGACATTTTAAAATGAATATATTTTTTGAGAAAAGAGAATTGGTAAATTAATTAATCCCCAAGGATCTGCACTGGCACCATAGCTGTTCAACGTATTCATAAATGATCAGGAAAAAGGGGCAAACAATGAGGTGGCAAAGTTTGCAGATGATAGAAAATTACTCAAGATCGTTAAGTCGAAAACAAACTGAAAAGTTACAAAGAGAGGTCTCACAAACTGGGCAACAAAATGGCAGATGAAATTCACTGTTGATAAATGCAAAGTAATGCACACTGGAAAACGTGATTCCAACTAGCCATACAAAACAGTGGGGTCTAAATTAGCTGTTCCCATTCAAGAAAGAGATCTTGGAGTCATTGTGGCTAGTTCTCTGAAAACATCTGCTCAATGTGCAATGACAGTCAAAAAAGCAAACAGAATGTTGGAAAGCATTAGGAAAGGGATAGATAATAAATAAATAATCATAATGCCACTATATTAAATCCATGATACACCCACATCTTGAATACTGTGTGCAGTTCTGGTTGCTCCATCTAAGAAAAATACATTAGAATTGGAAAAAGCACAGAGAAGGGCAAAAAAATGATTAAGGTTATGGAACAGATTCCATATGAGGGGAGATTTAAAAGACTGGGACTGGTCTGCTTAGAAAAGAGAGGAATGGTGGGGCGGATGTGATTAATAAAATCATGAATGGTATGGAGAAAGTGCATAGGGAAGTGTTATTTACCCCTTCACATAACACATGAACCAGGGGTCACCCAATGAAATTAATAATCAGCAGGTTTAAAACAAAAATAAGGAAGTACTTATTCACAAAGTCAACCTTTGGAACTTGTTGCCAGGTGGTGTTGAGAAGGCCAAAAGTACAACCGGGTTCAAAAAAAGAACTAGATAAGTTCATGGAGGACAGGTCCATCAATGGCTATTAGCCAAGATGGTCAGGGATGCAACCCCATGTTCTGGGTGTCCATTAACCTCTTACGTCCAGAAGCTGGGGATGGATGACGGGATGGATCACTAGATAAATTGCCCTGTTCTGTTCACTCTCTGAAGCGTCTAGCACTGGTCACTGTTGAAAGACTGGGCTGGATGGACCACTGGTCTGATCCAGTATGGCCGTTCTCATGAGTTCTAAACCGGATGGTATTTTTCTAATTATTAATCTCTCACTCTGCTTTACAACTGGAACTGCAAAGATTAGACACATGCTTATCATATTAGCACGTTTTCAAAGTTCAAATGCACTTAGTAGGAGGTTCATTATTTACATTCACCAGGTTTTAGGCTTCTTACCACTAGTAAACATTTTCATCCAAAAAATCAAAACCTGAACAGTGTAGTTTCACACAGCGTGCATATACATGTATGTGCATTTTAAAATTAATTGTCTATGTTTTCACAATTAATGATTAGCGGATTAATCATTAGCCATACTTCAAAAACCAGGCAAGACTCCACAACAACAAAGTGCCATG